AGGAAAATTGAAAATACGAGCGCTAAATGTATCACTTTGTGAAAATAAATACATGCTCCGTGGAAGAATGCACGACTTCAGACGTGTGTTTGCAAAAATATTCCCTCAACCTCCCATGTAGCCCTTCGCCGAGACATTCCTCTGCGTCGTACAAACAGGAGGGAGTTGGCAAATATTTTCCTTCCTCCATTACCGCACACACAGACTCTGTATGCTCTTTTCAGAAACTGAGAAACGTGTGAAGGTGAGATTTCCAATCGTCCGAAATGGGTAGAGGCATTTATACAATGCGCACCGGTATTAGACATTTGAGCATAATAGGAATTGTGCGTTCTATTTATTTTTTACCTCCATGAGACCTTGCCAAGCTCGAGGTAAAGTAAAAGTAAGATAAGACTATCGCGACTAAATGAATTTCAACTTTAGAGAAATATTTTTTGTAACTTAGCAAAACTCTTGAGTTTTAAATTGAGTTATAAATAATATAATATAAATAAATTATAATTGATAAAAAATCATAATAATATTTTTATAAACAATATTAATTGTATAAATATTATAAATTTTTATAAATATTCTATATTTTTTTATAAATATTATTAATTAAATTTAAATTTAAATCTAAATTCGAAACTTGTTAAAGTGACTCTCGTAGACTCGGTGTCGCTACAATAATAATACCGACGACATAAGATTGTCGTAAGATAACGGCGTAATTGTCGGATTATTTAATTGGCGTCTCGTTCTCTCTTGTATCAGTGATACAAGAAGCGATCATCGTACATCGCGCGCGCACGCGCACGAAATCACCTTCACGAGGAAAGAATACAGGAAGAGCGAGAGACAGGAGACCCCACGGCGGGAGGATTTAATCTTCAATTCTGAAAATCAACGTAATATATTCCACCCTGAAGGTGGTTGGAGTTTCTCTCTTGCTTAGGAGCGGTAAGAGGCTGAAGGGCAGGGTACTCGCAACCTGTAATTTCAACGCGAGCGGACTAAGTCGTTGGTAATATGGGAGCCCGGAGCTGGTATAACGGCTCATTTCCATAATTCGTTCTTTAAGCATCATTTTTAATAGGCCCCTGGCGCCGAACGAGTGGACCCGCGCGGCGCTTCGCCGCCGCCGGGCTCCGGGACCTCGTCAGACCCCCGTAGTGTTTACACGACATCGCTCAAACTTCTGTTGTTATCTTTGCCCTTATTCGTTATCGCGCGTAATGTCTTTATATTCTCATAGAGTATGTACAAAGTGCGATTTACAAAATAGAAAATGGCGTCTGAAGATTTTGCTGGTTCCTTTTTGTTCGATCAAAGGTAAAGAATAATAAAAATTTGTTGTAAAAATAAGAACAGATTTCCGCACTTTGGTAGCCTACTTTATCGAAAACGGAAGATGTCGGCGATAATCACAACTCTCTGCATAGTCATTGAGTCATGCGAGTACATAATTTTCTCAAATCTCATTCGAAAGAATTCTTTTTGTTCGGCGTTCTTTTTATGATCTGTGCATATGACTTCTCACTAACTATACCTCAGATGCTGCCTCATTGTCTCTATTTTTGTAATTCGCTTAAGTAATAAATACCGGGCGGGCATTATCCTACATTGGTAACCGCATTGCATCCGCACCAGTACCCTGAATATCAGTTGGTTGAAATACCACAGAAAGAAAAAAAAACGGAAATGCGGTGTAGCGCAGACGAGGCGCGGCGAATAAGTGGCGCACCGTCTGCCGCTGTCGGCCTTATAAACCGGTCACGTGACCGAGCAGGATCAACGAATCAACGCGTGGTAGTGCCACGAGGATCGTCGGAAGGTTACCGGCGAAGAAGAGAAAACGAGACCGACGGATGTACGTACGCAGGCAGAAAGAGAAAAACGATTGGCAGGAAGAAGTGGAGAAGGAGGAGAAAGATGAAGCCGGAGCGAGAGATGAAAGTTCACTTCTTCCTCGGTAGCAAGGTCTCGAGTCGGCGCGGAGGTAGAGGACCCCCGCCGTGCTCTCCCGCTGCGACCGGTAGCTATCCTCCTGTCCCGTACGTAATATGCATTACTATGTGTGTGTGCGTACGCACTCTCATACATAGTAGAGAGAGAGAGAGAGAGAAGAGGGACAGAGAGAGAGAGAGCGCACACGCGTGTACCACACGCCAGAGAACCGAGGCCTGGCGCACGCCATTGCGATATTAATATTCCGTCTTTGAGCGCGATAAATCAACGGCGAATACGTCGTTCATCCCTGACTTCGTTGCTTAACCTTGTTCGTGGTTTTATATTACTTTGCGCTACACACCGTCCGGAAGAGAACTTCCCTTCCATCGAAGCCAACTTGTCGTATTTTGAGCGCTTGACGAAAGAATTAAAACGTACGGACAGACGAAGGTAATTTCTGCACGGTGAATGGAGAAAAATAATGTACGCTCCGTCGATTCATCTCTTGAATCCGACGAAATCGACAAGGATCGCTTCGGTATTCTGCTCGAGTCCGCATAAAAGTGATCCTCGTTCCTTCATACGTGTTTCTCTCACGGCACTCGAAGCCCGCGCGACCATCGGCCGCCGACTCCGCGCCGCCGAGTGGGATTTCGAAAGAGTGGAAGATAAAAAAAAAAAAAAAAAGGCAAGCTCTCTCGACACAGCCCTCCCCGACAGCGCGACTAAATAAAAAGTACCACGTGAAGCACCGGCCTTGACATGGCGGTGCTGCGCGTGGACCGCGGGAATTTCAACCCCCGCTGTGAGCCACACGGTGGTGCCACACGGCTGCGGTGCAATGGGAGAATCGCGCCAACCCCCTTTCCTTCTCTTTCCCGTCGACGTATTTTTGTTACGCGAACCACACGCAAAGCGCCACGCGATTTATATATTCGTTTTCCCATCTCGTCGCGCGGCTGAAAAAGGTCTCTCGCTGAGCACGACAGCGATCCAATTTTCTTCCCAAGGTTTCCTTTTGAACCGGGGCTTCCAATAAGGCTTTCTTCCCATCGAGATAGAAAGGTTAATGAATGTTTGACAGAGAAATTGTACTCACACTCGTTAGAATCAACAGCCTTTTCTCAAAGATTTATCCCAGCAAACACAAAATATAACTGCTACATAACATGAGAGTAACATATAATGTAACAATTGTTATACTTGATTTATATATTCGGATTATATCATTTTCTCTTATTTATGCAATATAACTCTGTAATGAAATAATATTATATAGCTCGTTACTTACTGGCAACAACAAGATAACAATAATGCATATGTAATGTAACATGTTATATGACAAATTTTATGTCTGCGTTACTATAATGTGACAATTTATATAGATATGATCGAGTGATTTATTGGTGAATAGACTTTGAAGATTTTATATACAATATCATTTTAGTAATCTATATAATTGTTATATAATCTTTCAGTTATTACTGCAGCAATAATATAATATTTTAGTAACATGTTATAGTCAGATTATATAACTGCAATTTGGTATGGAGTAGGAAATTACAACTAACGTGAATGTTACATGTAACAAACACATTATATTACAATATACTTGTTACTTTCCGTTTCATTACGGCAAAGTTACGTTTATGTATCTGTGTTTGCTAGAATATTGAGCTCGACAAATAAAGTGTTCTTTTTTTCTTTTTTTTTTCAGTTTTATTAATTAAATTTATTCAGAAAACAGTGAATCTCACAAGCATTCTTTTGACAAAGTTCGACACTAAATAACCTTACGCTCTTGTGCAACCAAATTTTATTATCGCGGCCTACAAAATCTTTCCGATGTAACGTTAATTAAGCAGGCATTTAGAATGTCGAAAGTAAATTATTAGCCGCTGCCGCGAAGCCGAGCGGCTCGCACTGACAACGAGAAGAGGCGGTTCAATTTTTCACAATCATCGTAAATAGGCTGAAGAGAACAGCTTCCGAAATGGTTGGTGAGCCGGAATCTTCGAAAGATTGCGATGACCAGATGATATTCTTGAGGAAAACCACGGGAATCAAATCTAAATGAAAGATCTGAGAAAGAGAAGAGAGAGGTCGAGGGGGAGCGTAGCGGAGAGAATAAAATCTCTTTCGGCGTTCCTCGAACGCATCATAAGCAGAGGAGACAAAGATAGTGGGAGGCAGAAAAGTGAAGGAGAGAAAGAGAGAGAAAGAGAAGAGAGAGCGCGTAGGACTATCTCTCCACGGATCTCAATCTAAAAACTCCGAACATATTTTCTCGAGTTTAGAGTCGAGCTCTCGGCTCTGCCATTGGTCGCGTCGTGGAATCTCCGTCCGACGGACCTGGGATCTTCCTTCCTTTCCCTTCTCGTTCTTTTGCGCGTTTCTCTTTTACGTTCTTATTCACTTTCTCACTCTTCCCGTCCTCTTCTCGATTTCTTCTACCTGTTCGCCGCGTTCTCCAGAGATCAAAGCACGCCGACGCCAGCAGCCCGGTCCGTGGGGTGTCATCCGAGATGAAGGGTGGGAACCCGCGGTTGCACGAAGAGAGTCATGAGGGGAGGAGACCAGATAGAGTAGGAAAGGCCCATACAATATTCATTAATGCGCCGAGGTAAGGTCGCTGGGGGTATTTCTAAAAGGATGAATCGAGAATCGAGCATCGCTCGTCGTGGCGGCATAAATCATAGCGTCTGTGAAATTGATCGGGGAAGAGATAGACTCTGATTGCCTGACCCTATAACGACTTCACATTGAAAAAGCTAAATGTGTCTCAAGAAAAATGAGGATAATTCTCGAACATACGCGTACATGTGGAAATAAATAAAGTCTAAATAAAAAGAATCCATATATAATATATAATAGAAAAGTAGAATAATGTAAAATAAAAAAATAAAATGTAATTTAAAATTAATATAAGTGTAATAAATGTGTAATAAATTTGTATAATATAAAAAAAATCGTAATATAAAATTTTTTTACGCGCAACACTGTGTAAAATATATTACATATTTTTTATACATATTTCTTATATACAATATATTCATTCCCTTCGTCAATTTTGTTTTTCTTTATCTTCAACGGTGAAAAAGATTGAAAGCAACACCTCATAAAATTCATAAAATGTATTCAAGATGAACGGTGTGATGCGATCGTTTAGATCGGATACAACGTTGCAGCGAAGATTATTTTCGAAGTTAAGATCGCAGGACAATAGCGTTCGTGTACCTCTATCAATCTTGAATTTTTTTTTCCAACGGGCTATCGACCGTCTGGCATCTGGTTTGTCGTCAGGAAAGATTATACGACTCCATCCCTTCATCTTTCATTCATTACTTTGTCACGCGAATCATCCTGTTGTATATATATTAATTTAACAGTAATTTCTTTGAAGACATTTAATCCACGAGTTTTTTCTGAAAAAAATTGCGCTAATGTTGTTTAATCTAATATTAATTCGCGAAGTATCTCGTCGGTTTCGTAAGACTTTTGAGATATTAAGCTTTGATAAGAAAATGCTTTTTTACAGTATATGACGGAGAGCAGCAGTGGCAAATAAATAAGCAAGATTAACCGCGATATTAAAGTAACGAAAAGGTCGTTAAAATTCGTGTTTATTCAGTTATCAGGCGTGGATACTGTAGGAGGGCCCCCTCAGCGGTGTTATCGAGAAGTCAGCGTTGATAACAAATGTGCGTTCTCTCACGTACTTTAGCGCTTTCGTAAAACAATCCTTTCATTTTTTTTCTCTAAAAAAAAGACATGAGATTTAAAAAGAGACAGATATTTAAAAAAAAATAGTAGTATGAGTAATCTTACAATATATAACGGAAAATACGACTAATATATGTTTAGATGTCTCACATTTTCTTCTTTTTCCAATCACACTGCGATAAGACGCAAATACTCTTCGACATTGAGAACCGCTCGCATAGCAACAGGTACATCTGATCTCGATAAACCTGAACTTGTTTACTTGTTTATTTCAAACTGTAAGACATGTGGATTCGAAGTCGCGACAAGATTAGATTGTCGTTTAATTAGCACCCCGACGATGAAATGCAATCGCAATCTGTGGACAACGATTGAGTTCGTAATTATTTTTAAACAATTGTTGTGATGATACAATCTCGTTTTAAAAAGCCGTAAACAACCGTAAATGACGTTAAAAAGTAATCGGAAAAAAATTAAACATTGATAACCATAAATGACGTTAAAAGGTAATCGACAAAAAAAATTGAACATTGTGATAACGTATCTCGCTATATTACTGTCGTGCCTTTAAATCAGATGATCGACGGTTGAATAAAGCAGAAGCGTAGCGCGGTAAGAGGGAAATTCTCACGGATCATCGGCTCCATCTTCCCTTTGTGATCGAAGAAAGTCGACGGGTTTCCCGGGTTTTGTTCGTCGATCGATTGTGCCGCCGATGTCGATCATCCTCCGCATGATGGAAAAACGGGACGAGGCTCGTCTGACTTTTCATCCGTGGAGAATGGAGCATTATCTCACGCGCGTGTGGTACGCGTTTACGACATCTGTTGTGTCTACGAGAAACATATTTTCCACTCAGGACCAAAGTGGTCTTCACATAAATCGCTTCTGGTATTATGATTTACAACGGGGAGTTAAACATCTCGATTAATGAAGTCGGTACTTCTTTGTGTTTACGGCTCCTCGTGCTAGAACCTAGAAAGAGGAAAACAAAAATTGATTTTCATTATGTAGCAAAGTCTGTGGTATCTGAACTAAAAAAAAGAAAAAGTAAAAAAAAAACTTTTAAGATAATATTGTATTTTACAGTTTTAGTTTAAAACACATAACGCATAATAATCCATATTTCGTCATTCATGTTTGGTAATTTCCAATTATTCAATTTTGTTTTCCGGAGTAAATTAATTTTGTTATTCAACTTTGTAAAGGATGCTCTCTTTGACGATCTTTCAAGATTAGATTTTTGCTTCACATGTGAAGGTCTCACAAAAGCTCAGCTGTTTCAAAATAAATTTGCATTGTAGAAGCGCACAATATAAATTATTCAAAATTTTCGGAAAAGAAAATTTACAAAATCTTGTGCAACGATGTTTTTCGAAAAATAGTCATAGAATTTCTTACCAAGAAGACTAATTTGAAAATTTTAGTGAAGAAATTAGTGTCCAATGTCAATCAAAGAAGAAACATCGTAGTATCCAATTAGCGTTGGTTAATTACGATGTATTTAGACAAGGTCTGGTGACGAATACAAAAGTTTACCGAGAGCCATTAATCACGTTTGCGAAATTGCTCGGTGCAAATGTCGTCGCGACGAATGAAATCCACATCCAAATAGAATTACATAACATCTGGAATTTTTTTCTCGCCGCGCGTGATATTCCGCGACCATAAAAACCACCGAAGTCCACGTATCATCGATGATAACAGATGTATTGCGCGCTTTCGCGCGCGCGAAATTGCTCTTTTCTACAAATTTTCCACAAATTGTCTCTCTAATGAGAATACGATTCATAAAAATCCGACACATAATCGAGAGATATCAGTTGAATGTGCACAACACAAACGAGACATTTATTATTTTTCTATCCTGCGATCTCTGATAATTATGTCACGCTCAAACGAGATCATCGCAATGCGCGCTCGTCCAATTATAAACCTCGTGCCTACGGTCACAAATGTCGTTGTTCTTTACATTCACTCGGATATTTGCGATCATTCCTTTCAAGTATCACGCGAAGACGCAAATTGCGCGTCCTGTTGTTATCAGTTGCATCACAGGCAGAAACGTGTTCTCCGAGCTCTAGCTCGCGACGACCTTCACCAAATCGCCTTTCGAAACGTGGCGACAAACTTGGAACTTCCTGATGATGACGAAGGCCCCCCCGGATTGAAGGAGCATGGCTGTCAGGGACATTCTCATTGTTGTGAGCGCGTGATTTTGCCGCCGGGGAGAAATTACCAGACCACGTAAGCGATGTCTGTTGACTCAGCTTGAAGTCCGCCCATTCACACTGACGCGCTAATGTGAACAGATACCGGCATCACTGGTTATGCGCAAACTTCGGTCTCCGTTCGAGCTAAAGCTTTTCAGCAGTGGGTCGCATGCAACGATAAAGCACCGAATTCGTGGTAGTTCATATCGCAGGGGGCCTAACTGAGCAACTTTATCTTGTTGTTCGTCCTCCTTTTTTTTATAGGTCAATGTAGGTCACTTTTGTCTCATCAACAGGATATTTACGTCTGTGTAACATATACTTTTATCTTGAAACTTGAACAAAATTTGTAGATCGAAATAATTTAATTTTTATTTGTCCTGTTTCTCAATCTTTTGAAAATTCTTTAAATTACACCAATCAACACAATGTTCAACAAATAAAAAGCAATTATAGATTTTAATACGTTGAATCCAGAATTTCTATATAGAATTTCCCATGTCGAGATATTAAATATCTCGACAATAGCTATTTTGGCAATATTCTCTTATTTATTTAATTTATTGCAAATATTAATATAATAAGATACAAAATTTTTATAGTATATTTCTTGTAAAATCTTTGTACAATCTTTCCTCTTTAAAATAAATCTACGGTTAAACGTTCCATTCTTAATAACAATATCAAATTATCTCACTTTTTGTCAGCGTGAAAATGATGCAAATTGTTTCAAGATTATTTCGCATCGATCTAAATCGGCTACATTATTTTGTTATTGAACAATGAAAGTAAACAATAAAATAATTAATATAGAATGACAAAGAGTTTATTCTTGAAGACAACCATCTCGTACAATATTAAATCACTGTTATTTGTGGTACCAATTTTCTACCGATTATCTTCTTTGTGCCGTCAGATTACGTTCAGTAATTACTTTGAGTCATTATTACAATTATTTTTTTTTTTGGTTACGTAAATTCTGAACAGATTTTACGAATTTCATTTACGATATTAACTTGTGTGTGTGTGTGTTCTGAACTGTGTTTCATAACGAGCCGCTGCGCTGCTGTCAATTAGTTCCATCGTTGAGACTTGGTATATTGGTCTCGTCTGGAGAGATGACTGCACCGACGCGCGGCGCGGATTGCTTCCAACAGATACGCGACAAACTGTTATCACGCTTTTTCTCTGTATTAGTGATACATGGAGGGGAAAATAAAAGCGATAGCGTGACCATATATAAGCCTGCGCGTTAGTCACCGCCATCAGTACTGTATCTCTCACGTTTCGTAGCGTTCCGTCACATTATACTTGTCGCATTCTTTTTATCTCAAGTACTCGAGGATTGTTAAAAAAAAAAGGCGCGATAACTGTTAATAAATAACTGAACAGTCTGCCAGTGTGGTATAAAGGGGACAATCAAGTTGATGCGCTACCACGACATAATCGGAGAAGCTTTATCAAACTTCGTCTTCGAGCTCTGACCGCGACTTTTGCTTCTTGTTTCTCTTCCTCTTCGGCACGTACGTCGTCTTCGAGTAAACATCAGCAAGCGACACATCAACGACCAGGAAAAATGGGATTCTCTTAGCATCGATTTAAGTCGTTCCCGCGAATCTATCTCGTTTGTCGGTCTAATCGAACATAATAGCGAGCGCAGTCTCTTCGGATTCTCATTCTCAAACGTCTTATCGAAGTTTCGTCAAAATAACACGCGCGAAGACTGTTCTCGGGAGCACTACGGAGTGTTATGATTTGTTTACCGCTGTTGTCCAGCCCAGTTATGTTTTCGATCAAGTACAGCAAGCAATTCCTGAGCTACCGTATACTCAAGTCCAACAGATTCAAATACATCTGACGATACGGACTCGGACTACTTCATAGAGGGTGCGCGCTAGGTGGTGTGTGTGTGTATTGTACCGCAAGCGTTTACGTACCTACGGTGCTCAGGAAGGCGCAGAGGGTGTCCCAGCAAGACCTGGAAAGTCTTGTATTGAAGTTCAATGGCCGAATCTACGGTGATGCAAGCTTGAGGAAACACGTCGACAATAACGACGACGATAACGAGGCGTTAGATCCGGCGCCGTCGAAAATCGCTAGTGAGGCGAATTTTTCGAGGGCGGGAAACGATAACACGAGTTTGGAGAAAACATTTGTAGAAAAAAAAAAAAAAAAAAAAGTTGAATTGACGAGTAACGTCGTACGAGTTTAATCATCAAGATATTTTGATTAGAGCAAGAAATTAGAGTATTAAAACTTAAATTTGCAACAAAATCGATACATAACAGACAAAGTCCAGTTATTTTGTCTCAGTGAACGTCCTCAATTAGAATCCACGAGAATATTTAGATCCCTGATTAAGAGAAAAAAAATTGGCTGAACATATCGAAAAAAGAGCCGTAGCAATTAATAATTCTGTTAAGGCAATTCTCAGATACAGGAAAAGAGAAGCATTTAATATGATGAGCTTGTATATCAGCTGTTGAAAGATCATTACAGCGAACCGAGCGGCAGAATCAGAGTGTGAAACGCGGAAAAAGAAAATTATTATTCGGAAATTCTTTTGGGAAGCGTCTTCTAAGTTTTTTGCGGCGGTTGTACATACACACGTGTACGCACGTACGCATTCACGCTAATAATCAGGCTTGCATAAAACGCAAATTAAACAGAATCCACTAATTAAAGCGACGATCGAGCGAAATCTGCACGTCTTTGGCGAATCGGTAGAATAAAATCGCACAGCGGCAAAGTAATAAAACAAAAACAAAAAAAAAAAAATCAACAAAAATGATCGTTTACGTTCCGGGCAGGATGCCAACTCACGTTGGGCCCTACGGCGCTGCTCGTTACTCGGGCACCCTGCTAGGAGCTGTCCCGGGTTTTTACAGCCCGAGCTACTACGGGAGGCTCAGCGTCCAGCACCAATCGCCGCTGGATCTTCCGGTTTGGCCGCGAAGAATGCCGGCCGAGGAGGAACTAGGAACCTCACCGGCCGCTAGCTTGACCGGATTGGGAGTGTCACCGGGCCCTCTTGGTAACGGCGGTCCTCCGAGTCCGGCGCACAGCGACTCGGACGCGTCCAGCTCGAGTTTAGAATTAGGCACCATTAGAGCCGGCGAGAACGCCAAATTAAAGTGCAGGTAAGAAAATAAGGAAAAAATATCGAATTGTTTTTATTAATTGCGCAGTAATCAGATCGATTGCACTCGTAAAATTACTTAATTCGCAATGTAACGTGTAAGTTATTGGTTTCTCTTCCGTTAAAATTAATGATAACTGAACCAGCTGATTGATTCGGCGTATCTTTTTAAAATGCACTCAGTAGGGTAAGCTGCTCTTTAAAAAAGCCTAATTAAGATAGCAGTATAAAAGATAAGTGTCGTATATGCACAGCGTCGAAAAAAAATTATGCTATCTTCATCAGGAAAAATTCGATGCTACATTGAATTATTCAAAGTAGCGTTAAACTCAGCACGAGTTTCGGCGTTTGGTTAGAATTTAAAGACCACAGAAATAGATCCTCACTCATTATTCAAGATGAAAACGCGCTATTTAATTGCAACACAGATTCCTCGTACAACAAATCTTTATTGACTTTATTTACTTCTCTTATCGCAATAAACTACGTATAAAGCACAATGTATGACTTTTCTGTATACACGTCTACTCCCTTCCGATTTATCAAAATATCTCACTTTTTTTATGTCGCACTTGTATACTTTGCCTTTTTGTTTTATTTATTACGTTTGTCTACTGTATTTACTTTATGCGTGTTACTTCGTATCTTAATACTTTTTTATATTTATTTTTTTAATCTTCTGTATCAATGTATCATTATTATTATCTGATAAGTCTGGTGCAAATTGAGACGGTGAGACCAATGTATCTCGTACACGTATTCGTTATCGTGGAATTATCTCACATTGCTGTGACACTTGCGACGATCAAATGCGATTCTGTTACTTCAATGCGCACTTTGTCGCAGACATTATATGTTTGCGATTCTTCTGCTTCAAATAACGCTAATTTATCTCTCGTCATAGACGACGCGCATATCCATACGCGCTCGCACATACTGGTTACAACCAGTTTTCCGTATCTCGTGCTCGTGATGGAACATCTCTTGTAGGTCTTTTTGTTTTGCGAGTAAGAAACATTTGTCACTCGCAAATATGTATCGTCTAAAACGTCTTTATCCACAATTACAACCGGCTTATCTGCCGTTACCGCAGAATTCAGATTCACGTTTCGGAGACAGATTTCTTTTAGCGTAAGAAGAACTTTGGCACCTAATATCTCAATGTAAACAGGCTTGATTTGCAAAGTCTACGCGTTCCTGATAAAATTTAGTCTCACCACAACTCGACAATTTTCTTCAATAACAAACTAAAAAAGAAAACTGCTGATATTGCAAAAAATGACAAGTCACAGTAGTTAAAAATAGTACGTATATTATTGTTCAAATTTTGTTACAATTAATTTGCAATCTTTTGCAACTACATAGATACAAATAATATGTCCAAAATTCTACCTCTATTGCGCTCTAGTGTTATCACGATATCAATAAAAAAAAAAAGAAACTCTTTTATTATCTTCTTTAGTATTTCGAAGAATGTGATTATCTTGAAAAACTTATTTCTTTCACGCGATGACCACGTGAAGACATGAATGCTCGCTTATCACAAAGAAACACCATTCCTTTCATATTGTTAAGTTAAACTCAATTCGAATAACAGTGTTATTCGAATGTTTTTAAAAATGATTTTAAAAATAGAAAATTATAGAACAATGTTTTTAAAAATAGAAAATTTATCTGGCTTTCGTATATCACTTATATTATATCAATAGTTGGTATATCAGTAATTTTGTAAACCATCAAACTGTACGAGACAACGGCTGTCGACAGAACTAATCAAGCTTTTTTCTAAACACATATTAAAGTTGAATTTCCTGATTGTTTCAAAGCGTTTTATTTCTGCAAACAATTGCACTCTTTTCTCTAAGTAGTATTTTTTATCTTAATCATATTTGCTTTTTTAATACAAATTTTACTGTCTAAATCTAAATTTCAATTCACAGTTTGTGTTACGGAGAACATACTGTACGGTACATTATCTTAAGGTCACATTAAATAACGTCTGAGTTAGTTGGTAACAAGTTCTAATTCAATGACGAAAAAGCCATATATATGTGTTATATCTGTGCGCGCGAATATTTCTGTATGCAAGTCGAAAACAAGCCACCCCGGGTGAGATCGGTCAATCATATCGCTCGGGATTACCTTGATCCGCGACCTCCCGTGGAGGACATATCCGTGCCTCTTAATTGGCGGAATTCATTGTCGTTGACTGGAACAGTACCAAATACACTCCAGTCTCTCGCTTCTTCACGATAAACTGGTGTCAAACGACGGCAATTGCAATATGGCTGGAATTGATACCAATTGAAATCCGCGAACACTCGTGACGCAAATCATAAGTCGATATTTCAGCACGTCAGAAAGCTATATTTACGTGTCACTTTCGATTAGTCACAACTCGCAGTATCTCACATAGCGATCGCTAATTATAGAAAATCGAATGTTCGTTGCGTGTCTCTCTTATTTCAATGTTGCATCGTCGTTGCACGGATTGGAAGAGACTGAAAACTGTACACGATGTCTCTTTTTGTTCTCTTACAGATGGCAGAATTGCGGCCGATGGTTCACATCTCTGGAACAGCTTGCGACACACGTTTCCGGAAAGCACGCATCACCTGGTCCGCGGGGTTTGTTTTACTGCGGATGGGAGGGATGCGCGAGAGGAGAACGAGGGTTTAACGCGAGGTAAACTTTCTTCAAACATGCTAATGCGCGCGCGTATGTACGCACGAAAAAATTACTCTTGCATTTGTTTTTTACGAAACATCCGTATCCTTTTCTCTTAGGTATAAGATGCTGGTCCACGTACGTACACACACGAACGAGAAACCGCATCATTGTTTTCAATGCGACAAGAGCTTCAGTCGAGCGGAGAACCTGAAGATTCATGCGCGTTCTCATACCGGTGAACGTCCTTACGTTTGTCCCGTCGAGGGTTGCAACAAGGCCTACTCCAACTCCTCGGACAGGTTCAAGCACACCAGAACCCACGCCGTGGACAAGCCGTACTGTTGTAAAGTGCCGGGCTGTCCGAAAAGGTATACAGATCCGTCATCTTTGAGGAAACACGTAAAGACTTATCGCCATTATGTGAATAACAACGATAAAGTCCAAGAGAAGAGCTTCGACGATAACAACGTTCAGGAAAAGACAAGGTTCGATGTTTCGCCCGACAAGCAGAGCAGCAGCGCGCATTCCGAGTCAGACAAGAAGGATTCGAGCATTGAGAGCAGTATGTCGGGTTCTAGTCCGAAGGCTAGCAATAGTTTCGAAGAGCAGAGAAACTTTGTCGAATGGAACAACATGTACAATCTGCAGAACGAACGGAAGGAGCAGGAGCAAGTCACTCCACCGAAACCGTACGAGCAGGAAGTGAAGATTTATCCGAGAATGTATGACGATAGTTACATTATACCGGACAGAATCCAAATGAATCCTATGTATGCTTCCGGTAGTACCATTATCAAAGATTGTTCCGCGATTTCTTCGCCTCACGCAAGTCCGGGTCGGTCGTCCGACTCGATGCCGCACATCGGTATGCAATCGACGCCCATTAAAACCGAAGAACCCATGGAGTGCAGCGTCAGTAAAACCACCACGGTTGACTACCGGAACATTGAGTCGATTGTTAACAGCACACCCTGCAAGAAAGAGAACACGATAAACTGCGATCCGGTGAGGCAGTCGGTGATCAAACGGCCGGAAGATCTGAAGATGGAAGTGCAGCAAACATTGGAACAGCTCCAAGAGGAATTCAAGGGATCCAGTGGCGACTGCTGTTGCCGACACAAGTGCTGCGTGCACAGTAACGACAGCATTCTGCAGAAGTCGAAGATCTTCTCGGACTTTATCTTGAAAACGCGAAACCCGTTCTTCCGAAACTTGTTACGTTCGGGAAATCTGGAGAATATGTGGAGCAACATCGCGGACACCGTTACCACGTGTGGTCAAGATCTTAGGGTGAAGAACGAAAACGTCGCAGAGGTGGAGCAAGATCTGCCGTTGGATTTAACGGTTAACAAATAACAAAATTGGTTAGGATCGTACCAAAAAGAAAATTTATAGTCTTGTCAATATAATTTTCGTAAAAATACTGTCGCAAATTTTAAACAATGGAATGAATGTAATGATGAAAACGAACGAAAGCTATTTTCGTCAGACTGCAAAACCAAATATATGTTATACTGACTGTGAATTATATAACTTGGTCGAAAAAAAACATATATTTTTATCAAATATATTTTAATTATATATACATGCACGTACATGTTATGTGTACACTTGTATATGACACGTATATATAATTATAATATATTACATAGTATACATATATATAGGTAATATACATTTTTTTTTAATTTTCTGACCGAAATATGAAAGCAGTCGAAGAGATCGATTATAAATTTGCTCAATTCGTTTATTAAATAAATAAATGTTAAAATAAATATTATGTTTTAAAACTGACTGCACTATAAATCAAACTATTAATCGGAAATAATCAAATTAAATTTTATAAGAATAATATTTAATTAACATTTTTTATTTAATTTTAATGATGTAACATTGATATTCTAAACAATCTATTTTTTCGAATTGACAAAATAATAATAAAGATTACACCATAAAACAGTCGTTGTAAATAAATTCGAAAGATATAAAAAAAATACGAAGTAATTGACTCTTGAACGATAATTTATATGTTAAGTTTGTGAGCATCGAGTTATGTTCTGTCTATAACGTAACGCTTAACAAATATATTTTTACCATTTTAATTAATGCAAACAAACCATATGTAACATATATGTGTAAATAGAATTTTATAAATATGTATGTATGAAAAAAAGAGTCAGTTAAAAAGGAAATAAAATAATATAGAAAACTGTGCTCTTCTCTGCTAAATAAACATATATATGTTTAACAATTAAATTAAAATTCAAAAAGTATATATATATGTACATATGTATTTACCTATGTATATATATACATACACAACAATATACACATCTTACACGGAGCAATTTTCTACGCATAATAATTTTTATTAGATGTTTACTATACATCACATGAAGGTGTGAATGACTAATAGATATCTAATGAACGCGTTATATCTTGTGTGAGATGTGTATATATTGTTCATTACTTTTCCACACTTAATGTATAATTGACCATATAGCATTTTTTAATGTGATTACTATATAATTGTACTCTTTCTGTTGTGTATACATTATATTATGTAAAACTATTTGTAAATTTTTTCATAAGCTAAAAAAACGCTTATTGAAAAACTAATAAAAATATATTTGTGAAGAAAATTCTATCGACTTTGCGTGTATATTACTATTGTTCCCAGATAATATTAAAGATTATTATATTAGTGCTGTTTTGATATAATTGTTTATTTGATTTCTGAAAACAATATTTGGTAAGACTTTAAGAATTATACGTATCATTCCTATTGTTTGTAAATATTCTGTTAAATATATTATTTTTATTTTCTATTTATCATCAGATGATAATATAGTTCTCAACTATACTCAAATGGCTGATGAAGAACATAACCTAACCTACTATAATATATTGCGGACTATTATTGAGCTGGATTTTAAGTAACAAATGATTTAGAGCGAAGACCTTGATAATTTTCAAACGCAATGGCAAGTGATCGGGAAGTGCTTCGGGAAATTTGGGATGGCAAAGTTCCAGTTTGTTTTACCCTTAATTCCGAGGAAATTTGTGATTTACAAGGGCCAGATCCGTTTTATTTAATGGTACCTAGGTTAAGTTATTTTCCATTGTGTACAGAAAAGGTAAGAAATGTTTATACGGATATTTCCGCATAACTCGCATATATAACTTTTGTTAATATTATAGTAATTAATATTATGTAAATATAAAACAAAAAGTTACTTTAATATTTCTATATTGTAATCATGTGACTTGTATAAGTTTTAATTCAAGAACATCATATTTATATATATATTGATAAAGGCCTAATCTAAGGCCGAAAACGTTCTATATGTTACCTGCTTGAATAAAGTAATGCATCCATCATACACACGTTATCACCAGTGTTTTTGCTTCAAATGGCCATTATACATTTCCTGTTTTTATAAGAATTTATTGAAGCTTACTACACTCCTATTCTATAAAACAAAAAACCTAAAAAATATATATCACATTTTTTATACAATAAACTAGTTCTATTTTAGGTACGGAAACACTTCATACGCCATATACAAAGTGACACTAAACAAGAGCATGAAATGTGGCTGGAATTCAATGGAATTCCTCTTAAATGGCATTATCCAATTGGTGTCTTATTGGACATTTATTTCAATGACATTCAATTACCCTGGAATATTGTTGTTCACTTTGATAAATTTCCAGAGAATGTTCTAATGCACTGTCAGAACAAGTACGTGTAATGCAAGCTATTTATTTTTCTTTATGTTGAATAAGTAAACAACATATAATATACATATAATATACTACAATTCTAGAGAAGTTGTCGAAGCATATTTCCTCTCTTGTATAAAAGAAGCTGACGTTTTAAAGCACAGAGGTCAAATTGTCTCCAGTATGCAGAAGAAAGATCATACACAGTTGTGGAATGGCATTATGAATGATAAATTCGATCAATTCTGGTCAGTGAATGGTAGACTTATGGAGGCTAGCAGCGAAGAGGGATTTAAATATATACCTTTTCGATGTTATACAAGTGAAGATAAATATATACAAAAACTTGTGAAGCCGATGAACGAAGAGGGTCAAAGAAAAACATTAAAACATTTGTTAAATGAAGTGTTTCCTGATCAAGAAAATGGTTAGTATATCAGATTTTCATTTAGCTAGTTGTATTTCATCAACTAAACAAGAAATTGCACATGAGTTCTTTTAGTTGTAAATAAAGATTGAATTTTACCAAAAAGACTTGCGAATTTTTTACTATATCTAATAGTAAGAAAATATTTTTACTATATCTAATAGTGAAAAAATATTGCGTTTGTTTCTTATAGTATTATGTATAGTATTGTATATATTGTGTATATTTACTATTTTACATAAAATCAAAACATTCACATTATTAGACACATTTATTTTAATCAATCGACACTATATATTTTGTTTTTGTGATGATGGTGATCGTATTAAGAACACTGATGAAGACTAAAATTTTGTAGTCGAAACGTCTGTAACTAATTTTTAAAACATAATACATCTGCATTCTACCTGGCAACTTGTTCAGTAACGCCTCTTATTTTGATACCAATCAAAACATTCACTTCAAATTTTTATTTTACAGTTACAGTGCGTACTCATGGAATTATACCACCGTTAGAAACTCCGCTTCAGTGGATGTCGGAGCACTTAAGTTATCCAGATAACTTTCTACATTTAATTGTAGTTACATCGTAACATCTATCAAAAAAAGTGATAACTTTGTTAAGTAAAAAAATATAATTTTCTGTAATTATTGCAGAATATTATGTACATTATGCTTGTATTATTTTGTATTGTATTTATTTTATAGTAAACTAAACATATAATAACGTATATATACACAAATGTATACATATGTATACATGTGAGTACTCAATATTTTCAGTAAAAAAACTGTACAACGTTGTTTTTGTTGCAAAGTGTATTTTATGAATGAAAGTAACGAATTGTAAAAAAGTAATTATTAAATTATTGATACCAGATTCTCTCTTACATTCAGACATAGCACAAACACAAATATAGTAATATATATTTGTGATTAGCAAACATCTGATTGCCGAAGATTTTACTAGATTTGTAAAATAAAATCACAGACTTCTGTATACTTGGACTGCTAACATGCTATAGTTTTTTTTTTTTTTTTTTTACTGAAAAATGAAGTATTTAAATAAAAATGCCGGAAAAATATGCGCTGTCGATCTTGGTTTTAGATTCTGTAACTAGGATCGAAATGTTTCGGTAAGGTATTGAATTATCAGCAAAAATTTTATAATAAGCTTTTATTCAACAAAGATCTTGCAGTGTGCAAATAACTAGATTTATTAAAAACTAATCATTTGTAATGTGGTTTTTTTTTCATTAAGTTACCGCACATCTTTCGCCTGGTTTGCGATATTCCTTTAACATTTGCGATAAACGAGTATTTTGTGTAATCACAGAATTTGTGGGTTTGCGTATAATAACAGGATGATTACCATTGCTACTATATTCAATTGTTCTGCGACTGTTTCCAAAACTAAGATAGTTGGTTACTTCTGTCTTTCTGCTTTGCTGTTCCTAAAAATAAAAGATTTACGTTAAAAATAGATTTTATAGTCACATTAATAATATATTAATTCCATTTTTTTAGTAATTTAGTTCTTACATTGAATATAACCATCGCGGTATCTTGGTATCTCTTGTGAATTTCTTCCTTGCTCAATACGATAGCAACTTCTGGAGATTCATAATGTGCAGTCATTTAGGTATCTCATGTATAATTCGACAACTTTTTCTTAGATATATATCAGGCTTCTCTACATCTGTAATTACAATAAAATTCAAATAATGAGACTATTTTCCAGTTTGCTTTCATAAAATCCAATATAAAGACATATAACTTGAAATCAGGCAATTTCAAGTCACTCGCAGGACGTGATAGTGATTACAATTTTAATGCAATATATTTCTTCAAACGTTTCGGCTTTATTCACTTTAATAGAAAAAGAAGAGACGTTTCTCTTCGTTCGAGATATAAAAATATACAACGAGTAGACTTTCGCAAACGGTGATTTTCTCTTTGTCGCGAGAATTACGAACGACTCCTTGGGACATCGTTTATTTTTCTTCTTTGCTACGCGACATCACACGAAAACACGTGTACCGAAGAGACAAGCTCTCGGAATACGGAATGTCCGCTTTATAATTAGCAACTATCGCGAAAATGAGCATCTCCCTCGCTCGCGCAAATGCTGTGTGTATACCTGAAGGTCTGTCAGAGACCGAGTTGCTGCACAAACGGTTAACGCCCGTTTTGATGTCACGTTATGAATTATTCGTGTCTTTCCGCGGCAATTATCAGTCTCGATTTGTACATATTCTTCTACGCACATCGATCTGCGATTATACTTAAACTCTCAATTACCGTAGTTCACTCGAACGTAATCACAGCGGCGTCATTTCTGACCTCGAGAGAATGACTTTTATATTGAGAGAGATGAGACGCGCATTATATAATTGCACACATTACGTCCTCTCATATTATATAAATAAAATATGAGAAAACTTTTTTTGCTTTTGAGTACAGAGAATATTTTCCGATATTTTACGTAAAATAACCGCACTAACGTGCAGAAAATACTGAGGTTTTATTCTATAAATCGTCAATAAAGTGAACTTAAGTAAGAAAAAAAACTCTAATTGTTTGTCAAGTTTTATGTATAACTTGTAGAGAGAGAAAAACAAGAAAGAAAAAGAAATATCAACCGTGAATATTGTCGCTAATTAATTGAGACCTTTCTAAGTAATAATATTATTTGGCAAACATGTTTATTTACTAATCCAACATGTTTTTTCTCGAAGACAATATCATTCTCGTTTCGCGACACATTTTTCTCGTGTTACCTTGCTAAATAATTAGTGTATACTTCGCAATCGCAACTTATGAATAAAACTAACAGCACGAAGCGCACCGCAATAACAATCGTCGAAACGTTAGACTTTTATCTGTTCCTACGCACTGCACTGTTCGGCTATTCCGCAAACAGAATTAGTCATGTTGCTCGAGCGTTGGAACAACGCCAGAGTCTTTTCGGTATACTTTTGTATTTCCGGCGAATGGAGAACGGAGTGAGAGGATATTCCGCGCAATTTTAAAATACTTGGTTGTTCAACCCCTTAGCGCTCTTGACGCTTTTTGAAACATACACTGGACATATCAACTAAATTTTTATCAAAACATGCTCAAAAGTGTTGAGTAACTCAATTGCACAAAAACTGTTCACTTGCGAACAAAGATAATTCTAATATTGTATAGTCAGAATGCTGCGTGCATTTTGTTGGAACCATTGCGTGAGATTTTTTTTTTATCATGTTACTAGACCCTTCATAATTATCATTGCATCAGGCGGTAACATTTATTGGCGCAGATTGATGTGTTACAACAGTCATACTTTGACTCAAGGTCCGCTTAGTACACTTGCGATGGCCTTAATAAAAACGACTAGTGTTATTATTATCGCAATTTAAAAGTCAGAATTTAATGTTAATGTATTACTGAACAATTCATGTTGTTTCTTGAAGAAAACGCACAAATGACTCTTCTTTTTAAAATTTTATGTCTCGTCTTTGTTTTCTTTTTTGTTTTTTTGTTTTTTTTTTAGTAGAATGTGAGAACAAAATTTTGTTATATAAAATATAACAGAAAGTTTACTATAGATTATACGAATATGACGAAAACATTCAATTGTCATCCACTTTGTAGCTCTTTAGCTGTTACAATAATAGTATGAGCGTGTTGTTGAAAAGCTAATTAATCTACTGCTGTTAAAGCAGTAACCTGTAGGAACACACCCTGCTTTGTGCAAAGATTACGCATATTGTTATAAGCACACATGTATTTGACATAAATTAAATGATGAGACGACTAGAAAACTATAACCACTTCTTTGAAGTTTATGTTAACTCGTCAAAATTATGTTATTTTTATGTATATATTTTCTTTTAAAGTAATCATATTGACAAAACTGTTTATATATTTTATTAATCAGATTAAAGATAAAAATTCAATTCTCAGCAAAATCAATATCAGGCAACATTATAGCAATTTTATATAATTTTTTAACAATATACACAAGTGCAATACAACACATGTAACAGTTACATCGTTGAGTTTGCTGAGTTTATTATTACTTTGTAATTATTCTTTTTTTGTAACAATAATTAGTAATCAATTATCATTATTATCATTATAACACGCTTTTATATCACAAGTCCAATTTATTTTATATTTTTCTCTCTTTAATAGCATTCTACTTTCCGTTGCCGAGCTATCATACACGTATCCTAAGTCCGTACATAGAGATATAAAAACATCATGACATTTATATTTATAAAATTAAAAACCCTATCTCGTGATACGCGTGATATAGTTTCAAAGTTCAAAATTTAGAACAAGTAAATAAAACATAAGGAATGCAAGAATATATCGATGTGTCCTTGTGTATGTGTACTGCACTTTTTGCATTACGCGAATGTGAATATATGATGCGTGCCTAGAGAGTCTAATGCGAGGCAAATATGACCGCAGTTGTGCGGGTTGCCAATCAAATACGATAACGGAAACAATGCATCAATGCAGCGTGGTGCAAGATATCGGTGCGCGGAGGCAGGCGATATATACGTAAGTCTCTATGACTTGGCTCGCGCTTATCTCCATCACGCCTTTAATCAGCGCGGTGAGGCAAACCAATGCGAGATATCGGAGCCTCTTCAGGAACGCAATCTGCAACTCACGACTCGCATATATTGTATGCAACTTACGTAAATCGTAAATTGCAAGAGTACAGTTCCACATTTAAAATCTACCTAAGAATTGATTTCTTCCGGCGTTTCCTCTATCACAATGTTGTCAGAAAAGATGCGAACTTTTCTCTCTACAGATATCATATGTAATTTAAATCTAATTTAAAAAAATATTTATTGTAAATATAAATGTAAATCTCTTGCTTTATTGTAACTTTACTCGATACTCGATTAACAATATTGAGAAAACGAGAAACAGTATTTATGATAAAATCCATTTAATTGAACAGACGCCTTTGACATTGCGAAACAGACTTAGTGCTTATCAATATTATGATAAAAATACTTTCGAGTGCAAAAAGGTCAAAGTGGCGATAATCGCAAAATTTACTTCAGAATATTACGAATTTTTCCTCATGCTTGTTATTGTTCCATGAAGCGGAAAAGCTTGAATTCATGTAATTAGAGAATAAAAAACTTTTCTCGTTCATATTGTGTCGCGTGACACAACGTAACTGCTGAAATGCTTGGTGAAAAGATAAAGTGCGGTTTATAAAAGCGCATGAGACGAGAGAGACTTTACATGAATCATACCAGAAGAAGAAAGAATTATTGCGTCAAATGTGTTAATGCAATACACTTTCATCAAGTTCATTTGATAAAAATTCTTGTTTCTTTAGATACTATAAATACACTTGGTTTTTTTTAGTCTTTTGTGAAGATTAATGAAACGTCTCGTGTAAATTGTACGCGTCACTGATAATGTTTAATTTTTTTTTTTTTTTTTTGCATAAGATATAATAAGATGTAACAAAACAAAAATTTAAGATCAATAAATATATATGTATCTAATCTTCCATATAAATCGTGTTTTGACTGCTTTAGATCACTGTCCGAAATTATCGAGATAATATTGTTTCACGTCGTACTTTTAGCGAACAGCATCTTACAGCGCTTACGTCGCTGATGCCAAATTGACGACTGCGTAAGTAACCTCCAAAGATAAATGTGTTGTAGACAGGGAAAATAACAAGAGATGAGAGTATTCTTTTAAAATAATCTCTTATATATTTTTCTTTTTTTTCTTTCTCATACTCAGTAAAGTTTTGTCATACGAAGCGTACCGTGCGAAAACATTTTATGCCAAAATAAATATCTCCGTTTGCGGTATGCTTCATATAAACTAGATACGCATATACAATATGTTACATTCTTTAATACAAATATAATTCTAGACGTCTCTCTGAGCATATAAAAAAAGGATTCGTAATGCCTTTCTCTTATACTCATTGAACTTCGTTCTTCGAGAGAAGATCTCGTTCATTTTTATTTTCTGACACTCTGTTATATACGCTTACACTCATACATGTTCTCTTTCTCTCTTCCTTTCTCTCTCATTTACTTTTTTTTTTTCGATAAATCACAATGACGAATATGGTTGTCTTAAATCGAAACTCGGGAATGAGAAGAAGAGCCGCAACACAAGGAAGTCGTACGATAAAAGATAAAACAAATTAATAACATTGTTATTTAATAATAATATCGCGTGATCGCGTTTATTTATACCATAATTTCTAAATATTGCGTTTTTGAGCTGCCGCATGTCGAAGGAACCGCGTGCTTTTCTCTTTCCCGATATTTACCGAGTGTGAATAAACACAAGATAAGATATTAATGAGCAAGGAATCGCCAGATAATCACAAAGTGATTTGGTCGTAAGACTTAAACTGATTGCTGATTGTAGGATATGTGAAGAGAAAATTCTACGATTTTTACCAAGTAGATATGCAATCGGGAAGGCATAGAAGTTAAAATAACGCACGCAATATTCCATGTAACCAAATCCCTTTACAAAAAAGATCGGAGGATCTTTGTGTATATAACAGAACAATAAATAAGAAATAGTTGAAATACTGATATTACGCGCTTACACGTGAAGAGGGCACATTGATATGTCGTACTATTTTTTGATACTTGTATTTACTTTTGTCGGAACAATCTCTTCCGTTTACACATGATAAACACTTAATCTCATCAGTAAAAGATACGTAATGCTGCTTTGTCCTTGATTTCTTTTTGCAAGTAAGTGTAAGGTCCTCCTCGTCAGTAACCGTAAGGCACGAGCATTTCGAAGGCACCGGGCAAATTCAGAGGCGCATTCGTCGTGTAAGTTGATTGTATCAAAATATAACTTTCGATATATATATATATATATATATATGTATTTGTATGTATATATATATATAGATAAATTTATATACGTGCTCTATGATTTTTTTTAGTAGTTCTATCACTTATATACATATGTATAAACTTTGTACACATATAACAGAGCATTATGCTTACAACTTATTTACTTATGCGTAATACGGACTATTATGTATATAAAACAGGAAGGATCTCACACCTTCCTCTTTTCATGTACTTAAAAATATTGCTTATAAACACCTTTTTTATGCCTTATGTGTTAACAGACTCTTGTGGGCTGTGGTGTATACATGTCGTAACGTCTACACGCACACACACATACATACGAATACAGTCAGACGTACTAATTAAGTGAACTCACGCATACATGTACATACTCACATATACATACAAGGCACTCTGGCGGCAATCTACTTTTTCCGCGATCGAAGATCTTTTTCGCGTCAGTCGCTTATTCTTATTGCATAAAAAAATTTTATGGCATTATATAATGTTTATGGCTTAATAATTAGGCTAGATATTATTGTACACTGCCATCTTGATCACTAGTAACACGACACAAATGAGCAAGACACAAATTTACGTTTTTTGTTTGATTACGATCCTTGAACTTTGTTGGCAAATATTTTAAAGCAAAAAGAGACTTTATATTGCGTAAAATAATCAGTTAAAGCGCATGTTTATGCACACACACACACACACACACATTTTTGGGACAGACAAAATTATTCCAGAACCTTAAAACTTTGAATATTATATACTTATAGAATTTCTATATAAAAAAATAGGCATAATATAAAAAAGAATTAAAAAAGATTTGTCTCGCTGTCAGATATGTTGTTTTCTAACGGGGTTAATTATTGTACTTATCATGTCATTACTTTATTATTCGTGAGACAATAAATTAGAACTCAGTACGAAGTCATCGCGTAGGCAATCACGTTGGATAATGCCACACCATGAATGAGCTCGATTAAGCGTGAATATTGAAACATTAACGTAACTGCCCTGTCTGCAGTAGTGATTTACAGAATTGCCCTTCTTGCCTGTCGCCTGGCAACCATTTGATTGCTTAGAAATCCACTGGATATCAATTTCCTTGGACATAATCATTACAACATTAATAACATCTAGAAAACTATAATCAGAATTCTATGATTTCAATGTAAAACGTATATCAATATATGATCCGATTGTTGTAATTCACAATTTGATTGACAGAAAAAAGAAATAAAGAATTCACTTATTTTACTCAGTGATCACTCAGTGGCGTCATGTTTTTGTGTGACTGATATGCTAGCAAAATATCTCTTTTTATTCTACCTTCTTTACCATCAACTAATTTGTAAAAACACTTGCCAACAAAAGCAGACATAAAAGAAATAGCTTATTTTTCTTCAAGGATCGTAAGACGTCTCAACAAATTTTAGTATATTTGTAATGAGAGTGCACTCATAAAAATCTTTGTAATCGTAAAAACATTTGTAATGAAGTGTTATTAGTAATAAATCGTTATGCTTTTTCAATTCGACTTGTCGATTGTCAAAATATAAATATATAAATATGTTAAGATTTTTCTTATAATGTAGAATTTTCTCTAGTCGCTTGCAAATGATACATTTATAAAATATAAAAAGTATTTTCTATAATTTGGACACAAAATAATAAATATAAATTACACTTTGTAATTTATTCCCTATACTAATGTTAGTTCATGAAAATTTTTCTCAAGTCATTTAATAATCCCAAAAGCCATTTTGTAATAAGTTTTGGATGTAAGGATAATTTTCTACTGCTATGTATAATTTTAATTTATGTTACAGATAACACAATTAGACTTTAATATTACACATTATTACTCATATGTGTGGCATAAAATATAACTTTTTAATATATTACATATATAAGGCACATGGATTTCTTTTAAAACCATTTTGTGGGGTGTTTTGTTTTTTGATCATGATATTAAACCTTAGATTTTATCATCACCAAGCGCACTAATTATTAGTATTTATTACTATCAGTAGTTTTGTGACGATACACGCGTAACTTATCTTATAGTTAAACATTTTTACGGACGTACTAATCGTCGAAGATCTTTCTCATCGTTTGGCAATTTAACTTACTGAGAACAAAGTGTACAACAAGTAACTTTGTTTGATTTCTATATTTTCTCTAAATCTTTTAAAAATATTAATTTACACACACATATTACATTAGTGTGCATAACTACAAATGCGTCTTTGTAATGAAGGCACAAAAAGTGGTCTCTGTGATAATAGTTTTGTTTCGAACTTCTGTGTGTTTACAAATCTTTTTATATAATTTTGTTTGTTATTTTTAAACAAAATCATACATAAAAATAACGTTTTATTTTTATTATATAATTTTATTCGATCAATAACAAACTTTCTATATAAAATTTTATATAAGGAAATTTTATATATTTTATATAATTTATTTAAATTTTTAATAAAATATAATTTATATAAATTATATAATTTATATAAATTATTTTATATAAATTCATTATTACAAAATCATATATAAACACATTTTGTTATCTTTATGATTATTATTCGATTATTCATATGCTTTTTGTATAACATTTTATATCAATAAAATATATAATATATTTTGCTACAATATACGACAAAACTTTGTACAGCAAAATTATTATGTTACGTATTTATTCTTCAATATTCACATGTTCAAATAAAATGTTAAAGAAAAACAAGTAAACAGTAAAGGCAAACAGTAGATAAATGCCAAAAAATGAGAAAGAATAATAAAACGACGATATGAAAGAGTTCTACATTGTAATACTACTGTGGTACGTGTGTAACGCATATGTGTGCGCACCTTGGAAGAAATAGTTTGAGCAATTAAATGATTTCGACTGCGTATTTCGCTACCAATGCGATCGCGCAATCAGTTCGCGGAAAATCATTGGTTGTCGCATCATACTGTGCTACCAAGAAATTGTGTAATTAACGTTTCTCAGCGGATAGGCTTTCTGTGGAGTACAAGAAAAAAATAAATACCGTTTTTTTTCTCAAAGTATTGGTTCTATTCATTGTCTCTAACACAATGCGTTCGTAATGTAAATTATTTTTATACTAATATCTATTTGCAGTAGTATAAAAAAATTAATTTACATTTGAGTAAAAATTATATTAAATTTTTTCGTAAAACAATTTTAAATTTAAGTTGGTTGGATGAAACTGTTATCTTAATATTCATTTCTAGTTATTATGTTATGCTGCAAAAATAAATCCATTACGTTCAGCAGTTTAGCTCAGGTATCTTTTCCCGCAAACTTTCTTTTCATGCGTCGCAATGGCTTCGCTGACATAATTCTGTAATTGTAGCAAACGCATTCGACCTCTAAACGGCCTAGCCGATAATCACTGGGTTCTAATCTCGACGATAAAGTGAAAAAAATCTGCTCGGATATCTACACGATTTTTGCAGAATAGAATCGAGCGGCAAAGAAGAAGGATCGAACAAGTCTGGCGAAGTTGGAAGAAAATGCCAACCGAGAACGCGATCATGTACAATCTCCCGAGTCTCGGTTTATCCAATGGCTGATTACGATTTTATCGCGATACATAACGTAAACTGCCGATCCGTGGAAATGATAAGTGCTTACGCGGTCCGCTACGTGTAGTGGATCACGTACCAATCGATCTTTCGCCGCTAAATTATCCGAGTAGTCTATGAGTGTCTAATGTTTAACAATTGCAATCCGCGTATTATCATATGTTGCTTTGCTTTTAAAATAAACATATGTCTAAATAAATCGAAAAACAAAAACATGGATGATCTTTGGTCGTTCCATGTGTTTCCGTTTGATCAGCACAGACGAGGAGATTCGAAAGGAAGCGACACACTGACAAGTGCGGTCTGTTGTGGTAAGCCTGAATATATCCCGCTATCATGAGACCAGGAAACCGGCACTCGAAAATTAAGTTTGTAGTCATAAGCATGACTTGGACTATTGTTGAAAACACAAGTAATTGGACAATTGTTATTATTACCATAGTTATTATAGTTGTTATTATTACTGACAGGAGATAAATCCCGTTGAACAGTACATTTCTTTGTGGGCTTACTCACAGGATTGTCTAAGTAAGGCTTGAAAGTGATGGCATCAGAATTGTTAGAAGTTGTTACAGTATTAATCGATGTTGTACTTAATTCCGTTTGAAGGCAAGAGACTTCCTCAGACTTCGGTTTTACGAGACAAAGAGGAGCATCTTGAAGAGGTGTATCGTAAGAATCATCAATATCTGGTAATCTCTCGCAGAATCTTTTAGGTGACGGCATTCTCTCGTAACAGCAAGACGGCAGCAGTCTTTTCAGAGATGAAAATCCTTGGTCGCATCCTTCAGAAAGATTAGAAACTTCGGAATTTGCTCTTGGCGAATGACAATGTACTCTAGTTGGAGGTTCCGTGTAAGATTCTCTCGAATATTCTTGATAAGAGGATGTTGTCGACGTTGTATGGCTGTCTGCAGAGCAAGAGAGATGGCAAGGCCCTACGGCTTCTATCTCCGAGGATGCGTCTATCCCAGCCGAGTGTTGATAATATGAGGGATGTTGAGAGGAACCGGAACCATCATAGCGATAGAAGTGTGGTGACAACTGTTCATGTTCCATCTCAAGTCGATCACGCAACAGTGAAGCGCAGTTCGCATAATTTGTCATCGTCAGATCCAATGGTGACTCACCGGAAGTAACATCCTGAATAGGACCCAAACGTTGACGGGAATCTCCTCGAAAGGCAATTTCATCCCTGAGTTCTGTTTCCTGTTCCAACCATTTTTGTACCTGACGGCGATTTATGCCAAATTTTCTCGCAGTGGCTCGTTGATTCTCTTTTACTTCCTTGTCTCGATGAAAAGCATCGAGGACAGTAAGTTTAAAACGCAAAGAAAAAGATCGTCTACGAAGATTGTTAGATGAATTCAAACTGTTAACAGAAGCAAGAGGATCCATCATCTCGCTATCAGACAAGCTACTCCTAGATCTTCCAGTGCTATTAGAATTGTTAGGACTTGAAGGTACGGAGTAACCGTTGCGAATACATATAGGGCTTATCGGTCCTGAACTATCTGGTGACGACCTGCCGACAGGTTGTTGATCAATACTCGAAGACACGGTAGCTTTTTCCTCCTCGTCGTACTTCTCATTTTCATCCAAATGTATTTCTTCTTTAATTATCGTGTCGCAATATTCTTCGTCTTTTTTCTCCTCAGTGTGCAATTTCGTTTCTTCTGGTTCTCCTTTTTGCTGGTATAGAAGCGAGATCGATTTCTCGGAATCCAACGGTGTGCACGTGTGTGCGTGCTCATGCACGTGCAAGTATGGGCTTGTTGGACCTCGTGAATAGTCAACAAAGTGAATGGATGACGGAGAACTACTGCTATCTACGGCACGATGAGATGCCGGCGAGAGTGGGGCCCGTGGGCCACCAGGAGAACTTGTAGGCTCGTACGGCCCTGACGTCGCCGCTGTGTCTGGGCTCGCTCGCTCTGTCTTTATCATCGACGGCGGTAGCAGCAAGCTGTATGAGCCATATGATCTCCCGTCATACGAATCAACATTCCCATAATTTTCTGGCTGCTGCGAATGTTGATCTGATGAATGCACATTGCTTTTGATATATCGATGCTCTGAGTGACGCGCCGAGTGGTAAGTGGTTAAAGTTTGATATACCTTCACCTCACTTCTACCACCAAACATCGCCGATGTCTCTGTATCTCGCTGTCTATCTCCGTTAAATACGTAATACGTTGTACGATCCTGATCTATTTGTGTATCCGGATATCTAGGGACTTCTGGAATATGAACTCTGTCTTCCAAACGATCATGTTCCGATGAATATTCCTGATAATTCACGGATGTAACACACAGGGGCATAGCTGCATCGGTGGTCGTAGTCGGAAGGCTATATTGGGGCGAGGAGGGTGCATGCGGAGGATGAGGAGGTGGGGGCCCTTGCTGTGTAGTCAGCTCGTCGCCGAGCTGTCTGGCGAGGTTCAAGGTCGGTGCTGCTGAAGTCATGGCAGTTCCTGTAGCTTCCGTCCCTGTATCATCCGATTTAGAAACGCCCGTTGAAGAAATGTTCATCGACGAAGTGACCCCACTATTCCCGTTTTCAACACTATTTCTAAGTTGCTCCTCGGATTGCAGCCATTTTTGTATTTGACGGCGATGAATGCCATATTTTCTCGCCGTCGCACGTTGATTCTGGCGGCAATCATTATCATGCCTGTAGGAATCCAGAACCTTGATTTTAAAGTCTGTTGTGAAAATTCGTCTGGTATTTCCCATAACGCCCACAGATTTTCGCATATTATGCTGCTGATGTTGATGCACTGATTGTTGATGCTTCGAATGAATCATTTTCACCGAGCTATCACTGATCACCTCACTCACATCATAAGTCATGAGTTTTTATTTGAGTACATACACGTAACTTTTTTGCACTTGTAGCAATGGCCGTTACGTCGTCTGCAGCAACGAGTCTGAGTATAGTGACGACGCAGATAACTACTACGAAGTTCAAACCCGGCACTGTCAACGACGCACGAGGTTACCTTAACGCATAACATTGCACGATGCGATCTGAGCTGAGGCGAGCCTTTTAGGTCTCGGATGCCGTAACTAATTTCATCCCCACTACTGAGAACTGTCGCTGCTTCCCACTGGTCTTTCCCCTCCGCTATATCGTAGTATCTCACTCTCTCATTTCTTTAAGCCTCTCTTCTCTCTCTTTCTCTCTCTCTCTCTCTCTTCCACGCGTCCCCACTCGTCACTTCGGTTAGCTCTTTCTGCGTTCAACGTATCGTGTTCGTCTCTCTCTTTTTATCTAATGCGTGCTCTCGCAACACCCCGTCTCACTATTCGTATGGGCGCTAGTCCACCGCCAAAGGCGGCTACTAGTCATTCTTCTTTCTCTGTGGCACCGACCTAACCTCCTCTCTTTCTACGAATTTCTCGTTATTCTGTCTCGCTTGCTTGTTTAACTAGCATACCATCCTCGTTCTCTCTTTCCTTTCACACCTTAGCGCCGTAAAATTCCGCCATTTTGTGGGCTCACTTCCGTTAATGACGCGCGCGGGAAACGTCACGTCTGTAAAACGTGACGACGACGCTCTCGGCGCCATGTTGTCTGCCGTGAATGTCTGACCGCCTGCCGTGCCTGCTACACTGCTGTAGCAGCCAGCATGGAGCCTCGATTTTTGTTCGCCTTTCTCTTCAAGCTGATCGTGTCTCCGTTCGACTTCTTAAAGTTGAGGTTGATATCACGCACAGTGCGCGCGCAAAATACAGAATTTAAAGCTTTTTTCTACCTAACTCATACGTAATATAACTTTATACAGTACATGTAGAGCCTTCAAGATCAAAATCAGTATAAGAAATTAAAACTGGTTATAATTAAACATAAGATAAAAAGTAGGCGCCACATTTCAGACATGCATGTAAAATAAGGATACTACGTATACGTATTGTGTATGTATGCATCCTACTCGATGTAGCATAGGAATTTTTCCAGTTGGGTAAGACGGTTACCGAGGGAGGGGATTCTACCTTCCAGGAAAAGCTTTATGACCGTATTAACTTACAGCTAATGCCAAGCTTAGTAGGGTTGAAATCATTGTGTGATTCTAGGACACAAGACTAGTATTATTTTTTCTTTTTTTGTAAACAATTTTTCCATTTAATTAGCTGGCGTTTATTATCTATACATTTGCATAGTATTATTTTTTTAATGAAAATAGCTATGTTTGTTTTTTTTCTTTCTTTCCTTCTTCAGCACTGAAGTTACTTTTGAATGAGATTTTGAGGTATATGATAGCCTCTTGCATATGCGGCGTGGAATGAGATCATGTTGTTTTTGTGGCTTGAGCCGACAGTTAATATGTTTAGCTTCACGCGCCGTTGCCATGTCTCTTCTTAGCCACACGTAGGCCGCAATGCATACGAACACGAGGAGAGACCCGCGAGGCAATGACGCAAGCACACGCTCGCATATACTTCGATGAACGAGCGCGTGAGCAAGATAGACCGATAAAAAGAAACGGACGAGGTCTCGTAAATTTCCACGATTCGCGCCACTGACAGAAACCAAGGATGCCGACGAATTCTCTTGCAGTTCTCTGAAGAAGTACCCTACTCTATTTCTAAGAATCACGGCGGCTATTCTTGCACTCGACGAATACGATGAGATCTTTTGAACACGTCCACTGTGCAGCATTAGAAGCAAGAAAGCACCTGCCTTCTTTTGCAGATTGAAAGAAAGAGAGAGAGAGACCTTCATGTGATTATATACGCTTGACTCATCGCTTAGATATTTTCCATATAGTATCTACTTTCGTAAAACAAAGATCTTGTTAATTTATTTAGACGAGTAAATAAAAATAGTATAAAATGCATCTGTTATATTAACATTTTATTAAACAATTTCTGATATTTGGTCTATGTTAATGTATGTAGTAGATTAACTGTAACTGCGTTATAATTTTATTAAACTTTTTTTATATTATTTTATTTATCTGTTTTATTTGCATCTTTAACTCTCGCAGTTTAGCGATCAAATAAAAGTATTCGTTGAGATTAATATCGACGACAAGAATCGTAAGGAAAATATCGCAGCAGACCGGCAGTCGCCTAGTGTGGCTGGCACGGAGCTTGTCGGATTTGTCCTTGGGGCCGAAGGTAGGCGCAGTATGAAGACCGAGAATGTGGCAACGCAGCACCCGGGCGCCCCCTCTTTTGTCCGCCGGCCGGTCTTGCCAGACAGGGTGTCGCCAGCTCGGCGGTCGTCCGGGTTAGTGAGGAACGAGGAGAGGGAGAGAAAGACGAAAGGAGGGAAAGGAGGGTTTACATATACATATCTACATCTGTGTGTGATAGAACAGCACTAGGAGAGAAGGGACGCACCATGGGGGAATCGTTCGAACAGAGGATGCAAGAGGAGCAAAATGAGAGAATGCAGCTCGCAACTCGCTGCTAAGAAATCGTTGTGTGCGTATTATATAGGGGGATCGGTCATGGACCTACATTCAGACCAACCATGTTTAAAAACTCGCATTCTTCTAGAATGTGGCCTGCGGAGCCTCCTTCGGCGACCTCTCTCTTTTCTCCTCATTTGCCGGCCCTGCCAGGCTCTCTTCAGCGTTGGACGTTGCTCGGACGCCTACCTACACCTTCTCCTTTCCCCGCTGTCCTTACTTGTTTCCCGTCACTCGCTGCGGCCACCAGCTTGGCGCCCCAAATAGTCGCGTAACCAGAGACGCGCCTCTGGCCTGACTTAGCCGCGCCAGACTTCTCGGCGCCCAAATGATATACGTCGACCATCTTCCGTCTCTCTTCTTCCCTCATGCGCACTCATGCGCCTGTTGCAGCCTTCGCTTTCCGCGCTCTCCTTCCACATACTTATGCATAGATTCCACAGAAGTGAAAAGGCTATATACGAATTAAAACTAAAGACGAACAACGAGAAAACAAGCTATATTTTCATTTACCAATGCCCTATTTATAACATTATTTTCAACTCATTGTCAGTACTCGTGGTGGTCTTTATTTATCCCACAATCGCGATAGGAATTGTATAAATTAATTGTAAATGTGAAGAAAACTGTTGATTGTCTTACGTGTATGTGCAGTAAACGAATATTTAGCTTCTCATCTTTCTTGATTCGTGAAAGAAATATTAAACTGTCTTTTTGGCAGACAAGACAAACAGTTGTTTACAAATGCACACTCTGTGACAAATTGAATCCGATTTCAAAATTCTATTAAGTTTTGAAATTGGCTGTCATTCAAAACCTTACATTATTGTGCTATCGACATCGACATTGCGTTAACTACTGTTCCCAAAACTGGTAATGTGTGGCTTTTTTGTTATTTTCCCGTGTTTTTATTTGTAATTATACGTAGTTTAACACTTTCACAATCTTTAAAAAGTCGTTTTGTGCTGTTTTAATTATAGTTATAAATAGCAGAACACTTTTTAAATATTATAAAATAAATTTTCCGCACAACATCCTGCGATCGGCTCGGATGACCGATAATATATTTCTTAGTTTAGTAACTTGTCGAGCTTCAATAAGATTTAATTGTTAAAAAATAAAATCAATCAAAATATCGTTTCTAAATCTATTTGTTGCACAAACGCACTCTCAGATAGAAAGTGACAACTTAAATGAAAATGAAAATGTGAATTTAAAAAAACTTGATAATCGAGATGACAGTCGTAAAAATACATTTTACCAAGAAGCTAATAAACTTGCTGATTGTGCATTATTTGCGTAAGCTAAGCATTGCACGCATTTAGCTGTGCTCACGCGTTTATCAGTTTACTAACGTAGAAATATACCTTCTTTGTAGGCGGTCGCACGATGGCGCCTACTCACGCGCATACCAGCATATCTACCTGCGGACCCAAACGAATGACCGTCCAACGCGAACAAGGCGGAGCTAGTACCGCAACAGCTCGGAACTCTCGTTTCACCGAGATTCCTTCGGCCGTGCGTCAACGCTACTACGCCGTAACTATATACACGCTTGCTTGTACGTTTCCCTGTTCGTCGCAACACGGCTGGTATATATTGCGTGTACTTGCTACTATCGTCGCAAATGAACAAACAGAGAATCGGTCGATGTAACGGCGGAAGAAATCGCGCGCCGAGAGAGAAAAAAAATGTCATTGTGAGAGTATTGGTGGGTATGCACGCGATGCTCATACAGAACAATCCATAGCTGTGCAATGCCTACAATTCTATGGCAAGTCTCATAAACGCGCGCGCACGCACGCACGCACACACGCACTAACCTTTATCTTATCATTGACGAAGGCGTATCGAGGTTGACTGCCATGTGTTTGCCTCTTGCATGAAGGCTTGACAACAACTTGATACTACGTGATGACTGCCTCTCTTTTTCTCTCTCTCACTCATTCTTCAGTTTACAGTCTTCCAGGAATGGAGAATTCCATGAGGGTGAAACGTCACTCTACATTTTTTTGATCGCGAATGATTTACGCCGGCGCAACACCCAATCGTGTAAATATGATGATGATATGATTTGTTTTATCGGCCGAGCCTTTAAAAGACACCGCGATGTTGTGATAAGACGTACTGTTTTATCCGCGGATGATAGGTCTCGATTGATATTTTTGCATTGTACGTGGTGCGCGCGCGCGCGCAATATATATAGTAGTAAGTTTATTAACAAAACTGGCACATATTAACTTTTATCTATTATCTTATAACTTTTTATAAACAAATATTATTCCTTTCCCTCTCCCCAGACTGATCAATCATCGTTTTCGCGGTCTCAAGGGTTGCGAATCTAGAAATTCCGAGTTCAAGGCTACCTAAAAATTTGTCGGACTAGTCCCTTTCAGTCTAGTTTATCGGTTGAAACGCGAACAGGTATCGGATCTCCAAAAAAAATTTGAATAAAAACTCGAATTTTTCTCTCAAATAGTCGCATTGAAGTAAATGAGTTCTCGTCTGATCGCTACTGAAGGTCTAGTGGCGCGAATACGATACCGACAAGGTTGGTTTACTCATAGAAGAATGGCGCGAAAGTATTGATAGCTCACTATAATCGTTACAACACCAAATCTACTCTCTAAGATTGGTAAATATTTATATCTTTATGCTTTTTATCGAGATGTTATTCAAACAGATGTATGTGATAATGGTGCTCTACAAGTATGTATGTCAAGCAATATCTGTCTATAATTACTCATCGCAATAATAAACATACGCGCGTGTTGCGCTACTATACTAGTATTTCCTACATATATTAAATCGTGATTAGTCACACAATCGACACAATACTTTATTGGCGTTCGACCAGAGCAACAGTTTATTTATGAAAAAGCTGTAAGTGTTGGTTGCCTTTATCAACAATGGAATCTAGTTTTAAAATGTTTACTATTGCATGTAATAAACAATTCCAAACAATTTGTTTTATTTTTTATAGCGTTAAAGTTGTAATATTTTTTATTATTTGACTATAAAAACTAAGATTTTCAAATTTTAAGTGCAGTGCATTTTATTCTAGTTTTTATTGATAAAAATCATATATAAGTGTGAGATAGGAATATTCTAGGCGTACTATGTGTAACCGCCTAATTTTCGCGCGCAATAATAGTAAATGGTTGTAAAAAAAGAAGTAAATTGTGTCAAAATTGATCTGAGTTTAATTACTTTTTGAAACATTTGCATATATATATAAATAGGGTACAAATATATGTATGATTGATGCATACTGATACTTATATGTGTTCAACTTTTAATGTCTGCAAAGAGAGAGGAGAGTCTGACTTAATAATATGTACATTTTGTAAGAATGATTTTATAAATCATTTTGCATAAGGAATCACACATTTGACAAAAACGGCTTCGAATAAATTATTTAATACAGCTGTAATAAAAGTTGCAATAGAGTTTTAAGAGGCAGGTTTTGATGTCGACGGACCTTGTTTGTCTTTAATTTTATGACAAACCTGGTAAAAGTTTTTGTCGTCGTTGAGTATAAAGACCGATCATCTTTCTTTAACCGAGTCCGTAGAACACAATAACAAGGTACAAAGAATAGAACAGATTCAGGGTCAAAATCTTATTGTAACTTTTGCTATGAGTTTGTACTTTTGGGCTTTTAGCTTTATAGCAATTGTGTCGTCATCCGCATTCCTTCTGTTTTTCTAGACTCCCTACGGAGACGGTAAGAATGCTAGGTGATCCGCAACTACTTAATATTATATTTTACGTTTCCGTCAAAAGTCTGGAAAACATGAAATAAAAAATGAAGTGAAAATAACAATCGACAATGCCAGTGTTTTACTGTGCAACCTATCTCCAGGCTTTACACCACGATCAGCAAAAACTGAAATAACCGACCCATAATTCTCTCGCCATTGTTTAGAAATTTACCTTACTTTGATAAACACTCTACTATACAAAAAAACAGAAGCTATTTTTTGTTGTAGCTGATAATTTTATTGAAAAGTAAACTGCAAATTTGAGAAAATCTTATTTATATATTTTTTAAATAAAAGTCAAGAAATTTTGTGACAAAATTAACCGCTGATTTTTGCTATTTTTTTTATCGCTCTTACGATTCAGAAGAAATTTAATTTTGAGCGTGTGATCCCTTTTACAGCAAGCACCTTAACCGGAAGTCTTAATTTACTCCACCCAATTCATGCTGTTTATGACTCATTACGTGATGTTTCTATTTATCTGTCTCTTTCTTCCGTATCGAATTAGTATATCATTGTAATAGTTACAAATCATTAGTTGTGAGATTAAAAATTTAAGCGGGAAAGCGTTCATTAATTGAGTGGAGTTGATTAATTGACAACGTATCGAAATATAATTGTGTCCTTACAATATTACTCAGGCACTTACGCCGCCAATAACACATTGATTATTTCTTGTGTAACAGTCTATAAACCGCTCCGCCACATGGCTAAAAATTTCTAAAAAAAACCTCAGCAAACTTCGACGCTATAAACGAACGTACAAAAATGACAAATCTATACTTAAGTACAACCGGACATTTAAGCATTTCTTTTTATCAGAACAAATGAATAGAGGTACTTGCTTATATGAGTTTCGAAAAGTTTCTCTAACGGTTTCTCACATACTTTATTTTTTCTTCACTTGATCGCTTATATTATCGACAATATTCAAATTAATTCTGACAAAATTTATCAGTTATAACATTATTCTCATTACATATTAGTGATGAGTTTATAAATAATGTTTGTAAGTAATGTTTAATATTTAACGTGTTTTCTTCGAAAATTTCTAACAGATGCAAAAGAAAAATTTACGAACCATTTCGAGAAGCCGCCAAATTAGAGAAAATATTTTCTTATTCTTTTTTTTCTCTTTCTTTTGTCTATGCTTATTGCTTATAATCACTATCTTACTGCTACTTACATATATCGTTAAAGACGTTAGTGAAGCGTGAACCTTTAAATACCGCTAGTCTTGATGCGGGTTACAAATCGATCTCCGTGGACTGGAAACAGTCGCCAGGGCCGCATTAACCATTTAGGAGATACCGGATATACATGTTTTGTTTTTTTTTCTTTTTGAGTAAGACGAAAAAAAAAATTCGTCCGCTCGTTTCCGTTCTCCTTGCAACCCGATCAGAAGTAGCTACTAGAAGACAGTTAGCTGTTTCTAAGTATATTCTTAAATAAATCTACTTATTGCATCTTCAAGGTGGTCTTGAGTCGCGAGCAAATTCCGCGTGTGTGTTGCATGCATATATGTATGTATTCATATGTATATGTATGTTCTCTCTATACGACGGAAGAGCTGATCGTGCCAACTTTACGCGACGAACACTCTTCCACAATCTGACACATGCGCAAATCATCATTCAAATTTTAATCACAGTCGCTGATGTAGCAAATACTTTATGCGCAAAGATAAATAAATCGTGTTAGTAACATTTAGTGCAATTTTGTTGTAAATCACGAGTACACGCTTGTTTTTTGAACATATCCCCGACGTGATCGTTATCGCGTCTATCATGATAATCTTTAATATAAAATGCGTAACTTATTTTTTGCGCGCGAAACGATCTATTGTTAATATATATATATATATCTGTCATTAATATATATATCTATATTTCGAGTAAAATATTCTCGAAAACGTTGATCTATGCTAATGAGCATAACTGTTCTGTTATTATGCATCAGTGTCACCGATAAGATCGGTATTCACGCAGACATTACATAGTCGATCTTTTCAATCGTCACTAATGATATGTCGCGAAGAATACTAAGTGCATTAAATGCAACTCTCAAATGCGCATTATAATAGTACGATTGTCCCTTTGAATGGTACTTCTTACCTTCTACCCTCTTATGCATGTTGTATATCCGTTGCAAATATATAATGAAAATGTACATATAATAAGAATGAGAGAGAGCGAATGAGTATCTCGTCAAGTATGAATCTTTGATAATTTACGATATGAGTATGAGTATATGTGTGTGCGTGTGTGGTGAGTGTAATGTATGATCTCTCATATTCTTCTCCATTCTTCTCGCATTTCCTTATCGTGAGTGCTCTGCTTTTGTTATTATTTTTTTACGGCATCATTTTGCGAGGTGTCAGCCACTTCTTCATGTAATAACAAAAGATTGTAGAAATGTAGATGAGTACTAGAAGAGCACACGTTACTCCGAGCGCGAGCACCGAGGTTTTGGTTGGACATGGTTCCATAATAGTCACTGTTTTATCTGAAAATAAACAACGTTACCACTTTTGTTTTTTGTTTTTTTTTTTTTTTTTTTTTTGTTTTGATAGCATTTTGAAATTTGTTTCTTATATGCGATTTTACCTGCTTCGTTAAAATCTATGCTGGCATCGCTCTTGAGAAACTCAGATTGTTTTTCGTCGCCGAAGTCAAGAACTAAAATTTCTTGTGACAGAGTCATGTCTTCAGCTTTCTCTTCTGTCGAATTTACAAGACTTCTTCTCCGTCTTTTTCCTAAAGATTCTACTGATTCACGACCCCATTCGCAAATAGCCTGAAAGGAAATGCCATCGCTATTGTTAAACTGGTTCTTCTATCCCTAACGGGAAAAAGTTAAGCTCAATTACCGGTTCACAAGGTCCTAAACAGTATTTCACGTTACATTGGAAAATTACACCATAAGATTCGGTGAATCGAAAAGCTTCGTACACAGATTGTAAAGCGTTTCCGTCTGGAGTAAAACTGGGAAAGATAGAAGGATCAACGGGACACCTAAAAATTTAAATTTGCCTTGTTGTAAGATTCATTGTTTAGCGGAAAACCTCGAAAAAAGAAAATGAAACTCAACCGACCCTTCGTCGTCGATAATTTGGAACGTGCTTTTCGAGTCCTTAGCCATTGCTACGCAACTGCGAGCAAAAATGCCGTATGGAGCTACATATAAAATATTAATATTAGTTAATTATTGGCGGAATATTAATATTAATATTTGGCAGATTAATTACTGATTATATATTGAGTATGTCGTTTAATTAATTAATATTTTTTTTATGAAAACAATTTTTAAATAAACAAACTTACTGTCTTGCGGGATTTCGATTCTAAATGTCAATTTGTCACCAATGCGTACAGTTTCAACCTCACGCGATCGACTATCGAGAATGCGAATCCTGGGTGGAGGCGCTTCCGGTGCGCTAGTGATACTGATCATTTCTGGATCTCTAATCGGCATCATGCCGAAAGTGATGTTCTTCGATGACATATCGTACGTACATTTGACCTTGTAGATTTTGTCGGCCTTTGTCATTACCACAGAATGATGTTGCAATACAACAGTGTTGGAATAAATTCCAGTCTGAAAACCGTCACGCTGCCGTGGTAAAAAGAAAGGTCCAACAGAGATTAAGTGTTCAGAGAGAGGGTTGTGCGCTATTATAAACTCTTTATCGATTTTTGAGAGACATACGATTGTAAGATAATTTTTTGCAAATTATATATGTATATCAGTATGTACGTTACAGAAGCGTAAAGAAGTAAAATATGACACTTTAAAGCATAACAATATTAAAAAAATTTTATTATCGATAAAGCGTTTTTTAGAGACTTAACAATATGGTGCTAATTAGTTAAACCAACTGTTTTTAAACATGCATTAAATATTTTATATAGCATAAATCCAGATGACATGCACGTCAATTAAAAATATTGTCAAATTGTAGTTATCTTTTTAAAGAGATGTAAATAATAGAAACTTTAATTTTATGGAAAAATTATATTTTACATATTATTTACATTATCTTGTCGTAGTTTCTATATTTTATCCTAAGTGTTGAAAGTGACTCAAAGGTTCAAAGGTTTTTACATTGTACACATTACTTACCACACTTTGAGTGTTACAATCCTGTCCACTCATTGTGAGATCCAGCCTGAAGTCATCGCTATTGATAACGTCAATATTGCATGTTTCTGATCGTCCGAGAGCGTAAATACGTCCATTGAAAAGTTTATTTGTTCGTACTTGAACAACGATACGAGTGTCCTTGCACTCAACCGACACTGCAATAGTAATTATTGAGAAAATACATAGTTGTATACGTCATCATAGTTTATTATCAATGTTATATACCATCATAACAGGTTCCTGTTTTGTCGCAATTAATATCATTTCTAGTAAGATTGTTTATTGTAGAATCTTCCGTAGTTTCGAAGACGACGGGAAGCGGATCTGATATCGATCCGGTACTTTCTAAAATGGACATAATAATGTGATTAAAACATTGCACGTATACATATATTGTTTTATCTCGTTATTTCTAAAATTTGGGAAAAATATTATTATTACTATTTATATTAACTGCTAATTCAAGTTCGCTTACTTTCGCAGAAATTCTCGAAGTAATCGCCAATTCGTTCTCCGTTATCGATCAAAGGTCTCTCCGCGTTGAGATAAGTCGAGGGCCCATCCGGAAGAGTCCAATGATCCAAGTGGAAGAGATGACAGTTGTAAGCCGATCCTTGAGGAGCGCCGCGATAAAGAAAGGATCTGCAAAGGAATTCGTTTTCGATTTCGCAGGCTAATCTGCAAGCGGATTCGCTTTGAACTTGAAGTTCCTTGTCGACGTAATAATGCAGTCCTGCGTATTGTGCAACCTTATCCCCAGTCACGCCAATTCTAGGCATTTGGAAAATTCTCTGAGACTTGCAGGCTTCCTTACCTATGAACATTACATTAAAAATGCATATTTTCGTATTTTTCTTCTAAAAATATATGTATTTTTTTTTTAATTTTTATCGTCTCTCTTTAAGAAAATTCTAATTACCTTTCAAACATAAATTCTCAAAGTAATCTACTCCTTGCGAATCCACAAATTGAATGTATTGACCCGTTGATCGACGATCCGAATCGCTCAGATGACACTGAAGCGTCGCGTAATTGTACTCCACAGATCGGCAAGTAAAGCGATGCTCGTTCAAGCAAGCTGCGAGACAAGCCTCCTTTGTAGATGTGTAAATTAACGCGTTGTCCAATCCGCGAATCATCTTATTTGGGATGCGTTCGAAGGCCCAAGGTCGCAAACAAACATTTTCTAAAATAATACATGATAAAAATAGCTAATTTTATTTTTATTATGTAATATATTTTTTTGTACCATTTACAATATGATCTTTCTCTGTGATACCTAATTGCAGATATTTTACAGAAGCACCTTTGCAATTATATGTAGACATTTTAATTACTTATATTATACAAAGTAGCATTAACGTCAAGCTCTTCTTTACATAAAAATAAAATATTATATCCGGCACCTTTTCTGACAGTAACAAGAGACGTAACTTGAAGAAAATGTATAGGTAGCATTAGGGGACTATAACTGAAAAATTTTATTATTATAGGAGACTATAACTGAATTTCAGAAAAAAACATTAAAATATGTATGTTTTAAATAGAAGATTTTTTTCTCATTGCGCGATAATGAGGAGTGCGAATTAATCAAACAGCGTTGAAATATTAGAAGATGCAACTTCTGTGTATGTGGCATGTGATTTGGCATCATGTGGATGCCAACTATGACGCACGTAACTGTTTTTTGGCACAAGTTTCGGGTGTTATTTTGGCCAGACCTGTTCAAAGTTCCAATTTCTTTTGTTCTGCTCTCTCGAAACTGGCTGGCGCTATAGCACCCGCCTACGATAGAGGCCATGCCAACGAACTATTGGTGACGTGTGACTTCTTAGCAATGATTCACGATTAACCGTGTAAAATTCTGACTCTCCAGGGAGCATGTAAGCGGAGAGAAAACCGATAAAGTTACAAAGAAAAAACCTAGAAAGTTACAAAAAAAAATGTTTTCCTAGTTTCTTCTCTTTTATACGCAATTTAGATTAACGATAAGAGTGGAAGTATTTAGGATATTATATACACAGAATGTGTAAGTGTGTGGGGTTTTTTTTAGTAGTTTTTTCAAACTACTAGTAGACCTTCCTTTTGACAGTCTTCCGGCTACGTAAACAGGTGGTTGTTTATGACGATCGTTTTTGAAGGGATTTTCTCACAGATATTAACTAAAGGAATTACTGAGCATCTTTTGACAGTGATAATCATAGAAAGAAAATAACTGAATGAATAATGAGAAGAGAAGAAATTTTTCTGCCCAAGGTTTATGCGCGTTTATTCATGAAAAATATATAGATTATGGTTTGTATTATTTTATCCCAAGAGACAAATCTGCTTTTCGTCTATAGATTGTATTTAAGCTATCTGCTAATAATAAATAGTTACTACATGTTACAGCAAATTGGTAAGTCTGTAAGAAAGTTATTTTTTTAAATATAAACATCAATTAAAATTGTAATTATTTATAAATAATACGTAGTGTATTTTTATGGTTAAGTGAAAGAAAAAAATTCAAAACTGAAAAATCTTTAATAATTTATAACAAAAAATAAACTGTCTTTGGTGTTTTTACGTTTTGAAACAGATTTTCCAGACTCTGATCAGATATGCGAAAGATTAATTAAAGCTTTTTTTGGGAAAAGATATCAAATTCTTTGCAGCACAAAGCAACACTTTCTGCGTTTTGCTCACCGGATCGTATTTGCAGCTTCGTCATATAGTACATATTAACGGCTCTCTGTGGCTGCGCTGCCGGATTTGTAGCGGCAGTTTCGTTTTGCAGTTGGCAGAGAGTGTCCTGCATAGGTGCCAAAGGATTGACAACAAACGAAAAAGCAGCAGCCTGGCATTCCGCCTCTTCTCTGCACCATCCCTGACACTCGTACAGCGATAAATTTCTCACGCTGTAATAAGTGGTACCGCGATAATCATAATCGGTGAGCTTCTCGAACGCTGTCCTGGCTGAAAGTAATTTTACATAAGCAATTAGAAAATTATATTAGCGAGCAACATCACCATGCGTCTCGGTAATCGAATAGTTCGCACATTATACGAGTTCGAGTTCTGAATCAAGGTGATATTTTTCGCAATACATTTAACTTAGATTTTTATAGGAAGATTATCACTGAGTTACTTGCAATTTATTATGGATGCAATTTGAGTGCACAAATTAGCATCCATAAATTAAAGACTGTTAGAACACTTACCCAACGCACCATCGCTACTCGCTATCAGCACCATAAATATTGCTATAATGGCTGCTACCGGTCCGATCGCAAACGAGCCCATCTGCATTGAGAAAAAGGAATCTCAGTTACAGACAACCGTAATTAGAACCGGCCTGCATTATTTTCCAAACTAGTGCGAGGCTAATTCTCACGCGTGAAATAACTTCTGTATGTATGTGTGTATGCGCGCGTGCGCATATAATAATAAACATCAAATAATACTTTAAGTAATAACATACGTGACTATAAGAATAAAACGCATTTTCAAAGGGAGTATTATTATACAAGAACAAACATACAAAACAGTACTTGAGCAAAATGCAAACGGAAATTCCGCTTCCGTGCGGATAAATGCACATTAATTCTAACATACATAATCCTTGATAAGGATGTGAAATCTCAACAGAAAATTACACGGATCATCAATTGTGTGATTAATCCGGAAACACGATTTGTCAGTGTAAACAGCCAGTTTGCGCGCGATCGACGCGTAAGAACGCTGAACAAGTTTAACGTTCATAAAACTTCAAGAGGATGACTCTGCCAGATGCGATTGAGGAAATTGCGCCCCGTTCGTCGCCACTACCGGGCGTGTAATCCGCTCGCGCTAGTTGGGAGTTGGGAGCATGCAAGTGGTCGACTTCCCGCGCGCGCGTTTTGCTCGCGTTTTGCGAGACCGCTTCCTAGTTTCCTCCCGTTGTCGTTTTTCTCGTCGCTTTCTCGCAGGTGGTATGCAGGAGATTCTATCCTTCCCCCTGTTCTCGTCGATTCTCCGATGTCGCGCCATCTCGATTCTCGACAGGACGGGTTTTGCCTGGGCGCAGCTCTCTCGCAGAGAGCTGATCGGTTTTTCTCTCTTTAATACGCTTATTTATTATTTCTCGCCGTAATTGCAGCGTTGTGATAAGAAAAGAACTTTATCTCGCCGCGAAGAACAAACGCGCATCTTTCCGTTATTTACGATCAATCGTTTTTTAGCACCTGACAGAAATTAACGCTTCTTTTTCCGGAGTTCGATCAAATAAATATGAAAGCAGCTTTTATTTTTCATTGTTAAAAAAGTTTGTTCTTTGAATGTAAAAAAAAAAAAAAAAAAAAACTCAACTGTATTATTGCTACATGGTCTGTAAATCTGCGCGCAATTGCTTGTCGTCGGATATTACAACACAAGCTTCGCTCTGACCAACTTTCCTACTTCAATTCACATTACGATAATACGATAACAAGGATGAAGACACGATCATGAACCAAACGATCCAAGAAACTCGAACCACGTAGTCGAGTTCGAGGTCATAGAGTATAATAGAACTCCACCGGGGACTACCACGCAGGAAAGGAGAGCCACGTCGTGGCTCGTACCGAGGTCAAGGGTTCATCCTCCCTTCTCCATCTGCGCCCCCGTGACCTCTCCTCGACCCCCACACCCACGAGATGCACGTCTTGCAGCAAAATCGCGCGCTAACAATAAGGAATGCGCTTAGGTACGCGCTCGGTAGGCAGGTTGATGCGCTGTTACGAAGATTAATGTGCCTACCGAGAAGAAAGAAACGCGCGGAAGAGGCGCTAGTTTCTTCGTCCTGCGTGAGGTCACGAGTTACCTGAGAAACTCGGATTTCCGGGGTTTGGATGGAATTTTTCTACCTGCGGCTAAAGAATTTTTTTTTCTATCGATATTCCAGGAAAATAGAAAATTACTTCGAAAATTTCGTTTACGACACGCAAAACCGCTTTTGTTGCGTTGCGATAAGGAAAGAAAGTTCGCAGGAAAACGTAAACACTATTACGTGCATCTAATATGGTGCACTCTCAGCTTCCGATCTCTTTACAAGAAAAGTGATCGCGCACAATGTTCCTGACCTTTACGTCACAACCGGTCTCGCTGTAAACCTGGCCGACAGGTTCGTAGGCCGATGATGTTTCAGACGCTCAACACGCGTGTTTACTGTACGGGAATCGACGCTTCCGGTAATTCTCGATACGAGTCTATGCGAATCGCACACATCTCTACCGTATCGCCATTTTGTCAGAAATGTACTCTCTGATAGCACTGATTACTTCCCGTCAATAGCGAAGTTATTATGATATGACCGAGATTAAGCGAATTGCGAGAAGATTCAGCGATTAGGAAAATGGGAAAATAGAACTTTTTACAGGTTCAGTCGTTCAATATACAATCCGTCATGCATGTATCTCCATTCTCAAGTCGTGTTGCAATTAATTCGCTTCGAAAACAACAAGCGTGTGATAAAAAAAACAGCTTGCTTTTAGATTAAAACGTGAGACGAGACAAAGACAGATATTATCCGGGGAATTACGGACACACATGTTCGCTTGACACAATAATTAAGTAATCTTACACTAATGGTTATGACAGTTAAACGCGCGCGCGCGCGCACGCACACACACACACATATGGAGTTTACTAGAATGCAGAAATTCTTCCACACAGTTAATTATCGAGTCAAGTCATCTTTGGATAATGCAGCTTCGTAGACGATCTCGTGACGGCCCAACCACGCAATTATGACAGGCTCTCTCTCTCAAGAGAGAGAGAGAGAGTCCATGAAGAATCAATTACAAAGTCGCGAGCTAAGCAATCCTCTCGACGATGAATTGGGCATTTATGGTCTTTCCGCAAATCCGTTCCACGTACATTAAATGTAATATAAACGAATACATATCGTAATAGGATACGAGCATAATGCATTTAGTTATTTCATTTTCTTTTCAGATACTTTGCGCGCGCGCACACATATTCAGATTTCGATAAACGATTCTCAGAAATATCGCATGGGATTGATAAAATGTTTAGATAAATCGTTGAAAAATTACAATCGCGATCGTAATCTCACGATCGTTGTGTATATTATACACACGTCCGGAAAGGTTGCGGTACCCTGGCCACTGAAACATGCAGATTTATGTCCTTTGCAATGTCAATGCCGTTTGGAATTAATGGCTTCCCCAGAGAATCCTCTTGAATGCTAGAAACGCACTAGCATTCACTAGCATTCACTGAATTTCCTGCTATTTCCTTTTATTTGTGTACAACAGAAAAGATTCGCGTCGGGGGGGGGGGGGGCAGTTACAAATGTCCATTCATTCAGCATTTCGTGTGGTTGGATGTGGGTAGATTTTTGTTTACGAATCTGTCAACAATAGACGTTGCAAGTAAAGCGTAACTATTGTCCGATAATCGTGAAGTACAATTATTTCGAGATGGAGATATATTAAACCGAGCGTGCGTCGACTTTCCGTCAACGTTTGCGAGCGACGTACCTAGGTGGAACTGATTAGATGGTGAGGAATATTGCTCTTCTGCATCTCTGACGTCTCCTCGGCGAAAGGGAAAGGGAAAAAGTTTTGCGAGAAGGTAAGATTATTATTTTCTGCCAGGAATATACACACACCATGGCAACGTTCTTACACCTCACTCTCTTTCTCTTTCTCGCGAAGAGAGATGCTGCGATAGGGAGAAAACTACCGCGGCGCTGCCGCGGAGAGGAATCATTTTCTTCGTCTAGGATCGCTTCACACCCTCTCGAAGTGCTCTCGTCACGATACGAACATCCGCTTTCGTGATAAGTCGGACTAGTTCGCGGTAGGAATTTACATGAAAACGAAAAGCAGATCCTCGTGTGCGTGCATGAAATTTATGTGAAGTCCGTTTCGGTGAATAACGATGAGACAACAACAAGAGAGAATGCGGTATATGGCGCCTAAGTAAGTTAATTAAATAGCCCGTTCACGCGGACGCATTAACCGTTCTGCTCCTTCGAGATGAACATTCGCGAAGATTTTCTTGCGCAGTGATCCAACATATCCTTTGTTGTATTCAATATCACAGTTCGTTCTATCAACGCGATTGGCGCTTCGCAATATGTATTACTTTATTTTATTTAACCGAATCATATATAAGCACATATTTTTATACGAGAAGAACGAATGCATAACGGTTTTCAAATTGCTCATCCCAAGGTGTATATATATATATATATATATAGAGGAATGCAAAATAAACAGACAACAGTCTTGTAATTCTCTGAGAATGATTTCTCGTCACGTATATATTCACCAAAGGCATCTTCCGAGTGGTTGAATATTTTCGCATCACCCGCGATGAACTCGATGAACTCGATGAACCTGATCTATGACTATACCCCCGACGCAGACCAGTAGCATCAGCGTGGATTCATAAACAATGAGTTTGCGGAACGCGAGAATAGGAATGAAGAGAACACGAGGAATGAGGGAGAGAAGAAGAAGCGAAACGAAAGTTGGCGTTGGAGCGACGGATTCATAAACAATGAAGGCACGTAAATCGCACGCAAGCTTCTTATTGGAGGTAAACTGAGAGAGAGAGAGAGAGAGGTACGTAGCGCGCGCTGTAAAACCTTAGAAAAGATTTTCACGGACGCTGGTGAATACGCCGGTCGATCTCTTTTTCGATAGTTTGCCCATTGTGTGAGCCGTGAAATTGACGTGGAATTTGCTTTGCTTTTCCGTGAGAAAGATACTTGATACTTGCGGAATATATATATATATATTGCGTATAAAAAATTTCTACATATTTTAATACACTAACAAATTCTCATCACCATCTTTTTTTATTTTCATTAAGACACTCACGTTGAACAAGAGTAGATGTGTGATTGTTGCTGCAAATTTAATTGGCGTGAAATTTTCACGCTGTTGTTTCGTGCGAGAGACGCGAGATAAGAAAGAGCGAAAGCTTGATCGTTGCCTTTTAGCGATCGAAACGGATGATAACTATGCTCAAAGATCGATCGATCGATCCTCAACGTGTACCAGGAACGCGCAACCGGGCGAGGATCTCGATAAATTTTCCGGTAATTAGCAACTGGATCGTCATTGGTGCGCCGAACGCAAATCCAAAGATCGTAACGAGCGAAGTGAAAAAATACAATTATGCTTAGCGCGCTTCTTTACGTGGCGGAAGACTTCGTTCTGGTGCAACGACCTGCGCCGCGGCGTAGCTCTTCCCTTCTTCGCGCTATCACAAGCGCGCGAGAATAATAATCAGACAGACGAGAGAGAAGG